CCAAGAAGAACTGTTATCGTTATTGAAAATATACAGCCCCTATACACCCATTTCTATTACCCCAGACTATTTATTATATCTGTTCGTTTCTAACAATCTCCTTCATTTATGTTTGTAGCAAATATATCTCGTAAAAATTGTGATCATAACTGTTCTGTGCGGTGTCTTTGAAAATATTATGGCCTTTTTCCAAAACAATACAAGTGCATCGCGTTTCAAAAGCAAGATCGCACCTTGAATATGACGTATTTATTATTATTGCCTTGAGCTAAATTAGAATGGAAAAAGTTTAAACTTTATGTGGATTCATTTCTGGATACCTAACTTGGCTGTGAAACTGCAACTGAAAATTCCGAAGCCGTTAAGATAAATTCTCGTGATGTAGGAATCTTTGATAGATTGCTGTCCAAACATCAGCGAAAGTGTCAAGTTCATTAATCTTAGATTCTTCTAACAAACAATTGTTGAAACTTCGGAAACGATATTTCACGGATCAAGTATTTTTTTAAGAGGCAGCACAATAAATCAAAGAATGCTGTTATCTCTTCGTTTCATCTCACAAGCCCTGCTTTTCCAGTTAACTGTTAATTGTTTTCCTTCATATTAAACCTATGGTGTCTACCGTACGAAAGTAGATCAGACTGAGATTGATCATAATTATTTCGCTAATCTCTCTTTTTACAGACGATTTAATCAAATCACTCTCCCTGTAATTAAGGCTAATCTAATTAATCACGTATAAACACAATTTATAACTTAATTTCGGAACAATTTGCCGAGGGCAAAAAATGTAGTTTCTATTTCTGCCCTATTGGAAAGGTTAAACGCACGCGAACCGAGGGAAGAATTTGCGCAAAGCTTATCTTCGAGAGGTGTTTTGCAACTTCTTGTGGTAAGATTATTACATTCTAGCCTTCTGAAATGAAGGCATGCTATTCGTTTCGTTCAAAAGCATTTTATCGGGTTTTCATGGCTTGTGATAAACACTGTCGTCGTCGGTTTTAACAAACTTGACTGAGAGAACTTTGTAAATCACAGCACGCTTTTATAATCACGTAAATGGTCGACATCGAAGCATTTTACTTGTCCGCATTATGTTATTGATAAGAGAAAATAGTCTGTGTTTTTACTGTAAAAAAATCATAATATATACGTTTTCATTTGCATATAGAGTATAACTGAATCACTCGGATGTAGCTTTTGGCATGATAACTTCTAGTAAGAAATGGGGACGGTGAACATCTCTTTAAACTGAATTATCAAAATTGCTAAGGAGTCGTCTAAAAATCAGCTTATGATAGAAGGTTTCTTCTCATGTATAAGCTTAAAAAAGGATTTTTAACAGAGATTTATGGTGTAGGTGTTGGAGCCACAACGATCCACAAGATGAGGCTTTGTTTGACATCAATTTGCTAACGAACCAGTTGTCTTCGACAAAGTGAACTCAATATAAATCATACTATCAAAGGTGCTCGAGCATGTAGTAGGCATCAGGATTCAAAAAGCATAGTAGATGTTGAGTAATGATATTTTCGCCGGACAAGCCGAAAATTTGAAAAAATTGCTAATCATTTGTATTGTTTATCAGCTCTTCCACAAAGGAAACAATTTAAAACACAAGTTAAACAAAAAATGGAAAATCACATTTCTGATACACTTTTTTTTTTTACTTGATTGGCCCTACAAAGCAATTTCGTAGCCACAAAAAAGATTATAGCTGACATTTCATTGCATGACTTAATTTCTCCTGCCAATTACCATCGGAAATGGTCAGAATTCCCTTAATTTGATAATAATGTCGAAAGCCGAGTTCCGAAAGAGAATTCCTCAAGATCTTGTATAGGGCTGTATTTTGTACACTAACACTAGCAATTTTCCGTTCAAATAATTATACTAAATAAGCTTGCAGGAAAGATTTAAGCTTTCTCGTAATGATTTGAATACTTCATTTATATACTGGCACCCAAGTCAAACAGCAATATCGCTTTCAGTCTAATCGTTAAATAGCTAGATGGTTTCACTTAGTTTACTTCAGTCGTTCAATTGAACCGATGTTATATCTATTCCTCTAAAACTGTCTTTGACTTACGCAAGTATATAAGTAATTTTGAGTCAAAAGCAAGCATCTTCTACCTTAAATAATTCTTCTTAAGTCACTCCTCTTTTTTAAATTTATCTATTGCATTGTGGTTTGCTTTCTTAATTGAATTGCGGGATTGAGTTAGGCTCGTTGTTCTTCTGCGCATCTCTCTTTGAAATTGCTGCTGATAGAAAAAAACGAGGGCTCGTTTAGAGTGAAATGGTCGGTTTTGTAGCTGTTTGCGTTTGTGTAAGCGAATTGCTAAAGCTGGTATTGTTTTCCAATAAGAAGGTAGATGGCAGCGCAAGTTCATATTTAGGTTTCATCGCTCATTTTGAACTCGTAATTTTCTAAGATAGCAAGGTAAAGAAGACTTTCCAGTTAAGTCGCTGCTCACCTTCAATCAAGTCGTAGACAAAAACACTCGTGATATTGATAACCGGCTTATCTCGGCATCTCGCTCATAGTTTAACAAGGAGTATCTTAAGAGGAATACTGATAGCAAGGATCTAAAAATCCACTGTTTATCGTTTTAGTGTACATGCGTACATGCGAAGACAAACAACTTCTGTAGTTTCGCTAAAGGAAGTTTTTTTAGGCTCAGTTCAAAGACATGTAGCAATTCTGTTGTGATTTCGATTCTTCTCGTTAAGGCAGCGCGTGTGTAATCATTACAAGACATTCACCTAACATAAATGTGATTAGTTAATGATTGCAATAGTTATCTTAATGAGATGTTTTTTTGCCAAAAGTACTTTGCCTGTTGTCTTGTTGACCTCATCGTGTTGACTCATTTGTCTTTAAACGTGCCTATAGTTGAAATGCATCATTAAAAGTAACATAAATAAAACACCTAAAATGTTGAATTCGAATGTAGCCATCCTCATAGGCTAGACATGAACATCTTGTCAAACTGAGGATCACTGTTTGTCAATGATTTTCTGTGAGATAACGCACTGGTCATCGTCAAATTGTTGCTTTCGGACCGTGATCACTTTAAGGTGCGCGAGTGATAAGACAACATGCGTGTCGTTATGGCGCTTGGACCAAATTTTGACGAATATGATAAATTCAAGTCATATATTTATTACATGAGCTGATACATTAGATTGACCGCTTGGATACTGTGTTTGGTTGTATCTGCCTTAAGAGAGCAGTGCAACAGCAACTTCTAAGAATTTGGTAAGTGGTTTAACTGTCAGACATTCCTCAGGGTTTGTTTAAGTCTATCCAGCAGTGAGCAAACTTGTTTTAAACGAATTCGCACCGTAGTAGCAAATACTGAAGATCGTGTTCGCTGATTTACATGTCTAAAAAGTTCAAGTGGACACTCGACAACGTCCGCTGAAAGAGGAGTGTTCGATAGCAGTACCTGTTCCCACTGTTGTAATCAGGGGGAGACGTGAAGTATTTTTCAGAAACTTCTCAGACGATCGTCTGTCTATGAAAATTTGATTTGATAATTTTTGCGCACTACATCCTTTACAAGAACATTTTAGGTAACGCGAGTGCCGATTATATCACTTTTTTTCTAGTCCGTTTCGTATATGTCTGTGCCACAGACAAAAAGAAAAGAACAAAAAGAATTCATATTTAGCGAAAGAGGAGAAACACTGGTGTTTGTTTTCAGTCATTTTGTAACGTCAGTAGACATTCGGCTGTTTATATAAGCGTCTGTTTCATTGTCTGTTGCTGACGACAAATTAATATGTTGTGACTGAAAACAACATAAAGCGGAATCTTAAAGATATTTTTACTTTGGAGTATTTCAAGTTCAGGACACTGTAACGAAGGCCCGAACGCAAGTGAACAAAATAAAGAAATTGAAAAAGGTTACGGTTCTCTTTACCAGTCTGAAATGACCAGTTCAAGCCAAGTTTCGGACCAACTGAATTTTTCTCGATCACTTTCTTGAATTTCTCTCGTTTGCTTAATACCCTATGAATGGACAAGCATAATTAGAATCAGTGCAGCAAGTCCGGCAAAGGTTTTAGCACATTTTGTTCTTTGCTGCTTGTCATGGGAATATTGGACTCTATTGAGAAGGTAGCGGGATGTTTCAACAAAACTTGATGCAGTTTGTGGGAGTGTAGTAATAGTTAAGACAAAATTAATGAAAGAAAACGCTTGCTCCATCGCTAAGCCCGAGGGCATTGTAACCTTTGTACACTCAGACAAAATATGACCGTATCGCGCATTTTGCCGATTAATGAAAACGTTATGTGAAAAGGCTTGTTTGTGTTAGATTCTACGTATTGATATGGAAGGTAGAGTTAACCTTCAGATATGTTGATCTGTATTTCAAATTTCATTTCTGATAAAATTCCTTCGAGGTGACAAAGAACCTGCTCGTATATCAAAATACGCCGTGCAAACAGCTTCGTAGCTCAGTTGAAAGTAGCGTTAAGCCTGTACCATCTGTGTAAGTGGCTCCGGTTTAAGCTACGTTGAACCGAGGATTCTGTTTTTAAAACTTTACTTTCTGCTGTATTTTGGTTTCAGCTGATCTCCCCAACGCGAACATACCTTCGCGTGCAAATCTGAAGATTTTGCATACTTTTTTGCAAACATCGAACATCTATTCTAAGAGTATCTATTTACATAACTGTTCTCCGAGCCAAAACTTTTAATGCCATCGCCTCAGTTCCTCTCGTGTTTGTGTATTTACTTTGTTTCTTGGTCAAATGCAAAGTGTCTTTACTATTTCTTGTTCGTTTATCAGCTATCACTCTGTAATGTATCGTAAAGACAAGTTGAACATGACCCAGTTTTGTGGCATGAAGGAGTGTTCTGCTCATGCGGTTATGAGCTGGTAATTAGTAAATTAGTATCATTATAACCTTAAATGATGTTTTTCCTTTGTGTTGAACTCAGGTCCGGTCGTAACCTCAATGAAATTATCAAACCACAACCTTCGAAGATGCGATGCAATCAGACTATAACGTTTATAATTCTTTGTCAAATCTGCTTGTGGAATTCCAAATCTGAGAGCAGGTAAAATTGTGTTATTTTCTGAAGATTTACTCGCAAGAGGTGATCATGTGTGTGCTGAGATAAAAAAAAGAAGTACAATGAGTTGAAATGTTTACATAGATAAATTTATCCCTATAATTTTCCCACTACAGAGCGTACCAAAACAGAAATTTTTAAAATTAGTAAAGAGCATCTTTGGCATTTTAAAGTAAATCGATACTGAGCAGTAAGTCGTGAAATAAGATTTAAAATTGATGTATACACGTCTTTGCCCTGGTCTACTACTTCTTGCTAGTTTTGGTATTTGTTTTGATTTACTATTGGTCATTAACAGCCAGGTAGCGACTTATTGTTAATTTAGAGATGGTTAAATTGTATCTCAGTGTTATATAGCAAAACATATGTCATAATAATGGTAAAAGTTTCCCCAAAACCAATCGAATCATCTCTTTTGTCTACATTTATATTGAGTTAGAAATGAATATACACTTTGTTGCTTTCAGATCTTTAGGAGGAAACAAGGAAAAGAATGACACAAATCCGGCAGACAATTCCGACCTTCCTTTTAGAAATAAGTAAGAGTAATTTTAGTTTCTAAACTAGTTACTAGTTATTTATTTAATCGTAACCTCAGGTCAAAAATGCGATGAAGCAAAATCCTCGATTTGTAAAATTTAGAATGCATAGCGAAGCCTTCAGGGCAGTCTCTAATGCAACACCGGATGAAGGGTATAAGGAAAGTGACTTAAGATCTAAGATCCCTCAGTATTGCTTCGAGTGATTATGAATTGCATCATTCTTGCTATATTAAAACGCGATCCTATTTTGAAAACCACTCGGTTTTGGTCCATGACTGGTAAACCCGTTGTAATCATCTTTCTGTTTCAATAAGCTGTCGATCATTATTACTGTTATTGCAAGTCGTTATGCTGGATGCCTTCGTCGCCATTAAAGCCCTGTAATAAATCAAAATTAATCTTAACTCAAAGGTTGAAAAGGTTTCGATAATCAACAGTCCATGCGCAACACAGTGAGATATTAGACTGTGATTCATCTATAAAAGAACTCTTGATTTCAAAAATCCAGAAGGAATGCAATGATAGATAGTAGCAGTGGAACAGCATTAAAGACCACAACGATCAATTCACATCAAAGCGGAAAGGAAAAAAAAGTAAGACTTTCTTTGCTCTTTCTTCACAGGAAAACTGTGCGAAGTACTCACCCACATTCAAACCTGACCCGTATGATTCTTGGCAACGTGTCTGTAGAAGATGCTGTGGAAGTCATGTATGTTTTGCACCTTCAAGTATTTATGAGTCGTCTAATTTTCTACTTTGATATTTTCTAACATTCTCTGCAACTGGGGAAGGCTTCAAAAAGAAAAAAAAAAAATTCGAACGCAGTTGTCCCTTTAATTTCCTGGCCAGCGTTTGATTAAATTGTCCCTTTTGATTATCACAAAGCCTTTTGTACCTCGACAGGAGAGACGACATGCCAGTGCTTAACAATAAGTACATTAACGAAACAGTGGCGGGAAAGAGTATGTCAAGTCTCTTGGAAGCAGTTTTCAAAACCTACGACAAGCGTATTAGACCCTTTTATGATGGTAGGACCATATATCTTTTAAGTTAAACATATCTTTGGAGACTTCAAAACTTTGAAATAGCCATGGTTATATCACTCATAACTTTAAATAGAAATGTTAACGTTTTAATCCGTTGGTGTCACGATCGTCGACGCCATTCACCCACCCAATTTTTCGGTTGGCTCACGAGTCTTACCCGGGACATGATTTAAAAAGATACAAACGAATTAATCGATAAATGAATATAGGTATGAATGACAGTGATCGATAACCGCTTAAAGTACATTAGAATGCTAATTTCGGTTATTTTCTCAGTTAGGTACTATTTTGAGATATCTACCACAATTTACGTGACTTGTTAGAACTGCATAGTAATAGTTGAGTTTGCCCATGATTTACACAGTTGTTAAAGTAAGGTACTTTTAGCGATTGCATCCATGTCGGGTGAAAAAATATTGATATAAGACAGCATACTTTCAAGAAAGAAAACCCCTTGTGTTTCTTCAGCTTCTCATTTACGCCATAAAGATCCGACATTATGCTTATTGCTTCCCATTCTAGTTAAAACACTCGACGTCGCCATGGACCTACTCATTCTTTCATTTGGAGAACTTAGTGAAACCAATATGGTAAGAATCGTAATGAAGTTTATTAACTTCTTAGCGGAGTGCTGAAGCGTTGGTAAAAGGTAAGTTAACAAGTCGCGATTTGCATCTGATAAGTAGAGGAGGTTGCACCTGGCTTGGTTTATAAACTATTCATGGCGCGCACGAGAGAAAAAGTACTGCAATGCCAGATTGCAATTGTATGTTTGTTTGCATGGTTCCTTGGATTAACGATTTTCTGAGGGAAGAGCCACTTGGCTGGAAATCTGACTTTGCATCTTTACATACACTCATACTTATTCACCAAAGCTCCTTTATCACCTCTAGGCCTGGCTCAGGGCTACATGTTTCCACACTCCTAGATATATTTCAATTAAGTGTCCAAAGTTATTTGGGTATGCATGGAAATAATGTCTCATCAAGCCACATTTTCTTAAACCATAGTTTTATTCATAATGATAGTTCTTTGGTGTTCATTAGGAATTTTCCGTTGATTTATACATGGGACAGTTCTGGCGTGATCCTCGTTTAGGATTTGGTCTTAACAAAACTATTATTCTGAGTGGAGATGCAACGGACAAACTCTGGGTCCCAGACACCTTTATTGTAAATTCAATCGACACAAAAATCCACCAATTGATAGCAGTCAACAAGAAAGCCTGGGTCCATCTGGGAAACGGAACGATCATGCTGGTATTGAGGTAAGTAGGGCACAAGTAAAATATTACACGCATAACGAAAGAAGATACGCATCACGATAAAGACAACGAGGAAAAAGCATGAAGAAATAAAGGTAGGGAAAAAACGAAGGAATAACTTCGGTAAGGCAGACAAACAGAGACAGATAAACAAATAGACAGACAGACAGACAGGCAGACAGACAGATGGTTAGACATCGATATTTAAGGCACTTAGACAAGTGGTTGTGGCTTGAAGTAATTTAGCCTTCAAAGAGGTGTCGTGACATCTTTGCACAAGAAGTTACTACGCTCACGTTACCTCTCAATGACAGAAATACGATGACCGAGTTGACTCCTCCCTGTTTTTTTGCACAAAGAAAAAGGATTTGGTTTTCTAAGGGAAATTTTTCATGTGAGCCTGAAGCAAAGATCATTCCCATACCCCTCCCCGGCCCCCCCCCACAAAGTGCTTTACACCTCGGTTGCCTTTCAATGAGAGGCAGCTGCATTGAAAATAGACCTAATCTTTCACTAACAGATACACTGCTCGAAGCTCTTGTAAAGTGGACCTCAGGGATTATCCGTTAGATGAACAGATCTGTCACCTATTTTTTGAGAGCTGTAAGTGCTAAATAATATCATCAATCAAAACTACGAAATGCATAATTGGAAAGAGTTTGTTGCACTTTTGATTAAAAGTTATGAATGTGTACCGTTACGTCTTTTGGCAATGAAAGGGTCACTGAGATCGTCGGGCCAGGAAACGTAGGTCGTAATAACAAGACTTTTTTATCACATTGTTTGTTTGTTTCGGATGGAGGGTGGAAAACCAGAGAATCCATAGAAAATACTGTAGGAGAAAAGAGGGGAACCATTAACAAACTGAACCAGGTCAGGTCGAGAAATCTCACCTGAGCCACAGCAGACGAAGGCGATGGCTGCCAGTTACGTAATCCTTGCAGCCTCCATGAATTGCCGGACTGTATCAGAGGATCTGATTGCATTATGAGGTGAATTCGTTCCCAAAAATCATGGTGCGTGTATTTCTCGCACCAGTTGTTAAATGTTGAAATTGTGATGAAGACCCTCTATTTTAAAAACTACGGCATTTGATTGCCTTCTAGTTTCATTCGAAAGCAAGGACTTGAATTTAACTTGGAAACAACAAATTGGAACTGACATTTACATTTACGACAAAGAAATGGCCCAGTTTGATATATTGTCAGCCAAACGACGTGGAAAACATCAAATCTACCATTCAGGTGAGTTTATAAAAAAGAAATAGGTTGCTTGCTCAAGCGACACCTCCAAAACACCGAAAAGCGACTAAATGTCCAGCTCATCTTTTTCGATTTCACAGTTCTCACCGTGAATGAGTCAGCTGTGTAACCATTTAAAGGATATGCCTTTGGATAAGTTAGATTCTGACAAAAACGTTTCTTCTTTTTTGCATTCATCAGAGGGATTTTCAGGTCTCACGACAACAATAAAATTCAGGCGTCGAACGATGTATTATATATTCCAAATGTACATACCTTGTATCTGCGTTGTGATTTTATCATGGGTAAGCTTCTGGATTGACGAGACCGATGGTTCTGACCGCGTAGGACTGGGGATAGCTACAGTTCTAACTATTAGTTTCATGAGAGGCTCTATGAATGATAATGTACCACGTGTATCATATCTCAAGTCCGTGGATTATTTTTTGTTGGGTTCGTTCGTATTTGTCTTCATGACCCTGATCGAGTACGTGCTGGTTTTGAAACAGACAAGAAAGGAGAAGAAAAGGAAAAACGAGAAAAATAAAGAAACATTGGCACGTGACCGAAAGCGGGAGGCAGAGCTGCTGTTTTCAGATTCAGAGGATGAAAAGGTATTATGGTAATAGTAATAAAAAATAATAATCTGTAGAGAGGAGCAAAGTTAACTGATCATTTTATCTTTTAAGTTTTAAGAATAACACTTGTTTCCTTCTATAGGAGATCTTTTGAACCGACTTTTTTTTAACAGAAAAAACATGACTTTTCTTCCCTTTATGCGGAATTAATTGATGTGAAAAAAATTTAGCATGCTAACCCCTTTTGAATTATTATATTCAATGATAACATCAATTTTGTACCCTTGCGTCGTTGCAAGTTTTGATACCTTAAAATGGACGTTGATGCACAATTTAGCTTTCCTGGGGTTACTGGAATGACAACATCCAGTATTACTGAAGAGGTTTAATATCATGAGAAGGTGGAGTAGTCGTGGGGAGGGGAAAAGGAATGGCTATCTGCCTTGACAATCACTACGTCATCTTAAAATGACGTATATCTGAGAAGTTTCATTTTCTTTTAGGTTTCTGTGTCAGTATCCGTAGGCAGCAAAACATATGATTTTCAACATGGTAAACCGAGAACGGAAGGCAGCCCTGTGAACTTTAACGTCAATAATCACAACAAGCCTGGGCGTACTGTGAGAATCGTAGAACCCACGCCTAATTTGACCAATAAACCTAAACGACAACCAAACCGGGATCAATTGAAAAAGCTTCATAGGCGACCATCTATGATTCAAATGATTAGAAAGACAATCGAGGATGGTGAAGAGGAGATCTGCTATCTGGATAAGTATTCTAGGATAGTTTTTCCTCTTTCCTACACAATCTTTTTGGGGATTTACTTTGGCATTTACACGGTGCGATGGGAGAATATAGTTCCGTGATAAATTATAACAAAGTCACCTGAATGCGACATTGGCAGAACAGGTTAAACTATTTCGACTGTTAACGTGGAATGTCTAGAAATCGAGTTCTGAAGACTTAAATTCGTGGCCAAAAAGAAGAACGGATGACAGCGTCGAGGCGCGCTTTCAGCCGAACTACTTTGCCAAATTTCGTTGAGAAAAAATTATACTCGTAATTGATAATGGCGAGAGGTTAACAGCTTACGCGCAGAGTGTATTAGCTTTTTAAACGTTTACCTAATCTACAGTCTGGTTTTGAAAATTGTGGTGCGTAAAGAGGACTTTACACCAGAGGGGAGGACGGGGGGTTAACAGAGTTTTGTTGAAATTTAGGAGTAAAGCAGGATATTTTGTTATTACCCGAAATCACTATCTCTTCTTACCAAAAATTTACCCTGGGAATCCCTTTAGCCACGCGCCCTTGAATCGCGTTTTTTGTGTGTCAAATGGGAGTTAAATTTGAGACCATCCAAATGATCTCGCTGAACGTTTTGTATCTCTTAACTTCGAATATGAACAATTATTTTATCGGTTAGAGGCGCTGGTCAAAATCCGCGCTTATTCCGGTTTTTTTTTCTCTATAACGCTGTTTGCGTCCTTGTATCATTATTATTTGTGTTTTTATTTGTTTCGATATATGCTAGTTTAGAGATCTCGATCAATATTTTTTTACACAGTCAAACAACGTTTGCATACGTTAACATGACTGTTATCACCAATCAGTCCTCTGAGTGCAAAGAGCCGGAGTGTTATATTCTTTCTCGAATTATGAAGAGCTAACAGATAGGGAAATAAATTTGATATTTTAGAGCTACTTATATCCCCGAGTAAAAAATTAAGAGGTAAAGAAATAAATTTGAATTAAACCAGTACAAATAAACGCCTTCAGTGACTCTGAAGCCCCAATGCTTGACGATTAGGGAGCAATCCGTCGGAGATGCGCGTCTCGATGTTTAAAGAAACTTTTACAGAATTTGAGTTGGCTATCGTTCTAATGTGGCCAGCTTATACAGATATTTTGATTCCATGTCAGCGAATAGATTTGTAAGCAGTTCATCCAGGATTTTTGGCTGTGAATTCAGTGGATTTCAAACAACCTTTCCCTGGTAAAGAAACGTGTGTCTATAACAAGTAAAGCCAGCTTCACTATACTCCTGTCCACAACTCTTAACGAAATAACTTAAACTCATATTTAGTGAAGACTGAGAAAGTTGGTATCTCCTTGTCACACATTTATCATTTACTGCTTTCCTGAGGCCTGCATTCCTCTTACTATATCGTCGGTGGGGGGAAGAAGAAGGGAGGAGGGGAGGGGGTTCTTCATCACCGCGAGGACCACTTTCGTTTTGATTTTTGTTGTGTCGCGATAAAATTCACCTGATCCCCCTTAAGGTTCTATAATAATCTTATGAAACCCCTTTCCTCTCCTCCCTCTTCCCTCACTGGCAGTTATTTAGCAGTCAAGTTTTTATACCCTGTTGGCGGCGACTCATAGTGCTAGTGTTTTTTATTCTGTCACGCTGTAATAAAGAGAGATTGCGTGATTAATTTGCTTCAAAACTGGAATAATCCGCCACGCGAAATACAAAGTTACGATGATAAAGATAGCAGAGGAAATACCATATCCTGCCTGTTCCACTAGTCCTTTTGCCACCTGGTTTATAAATCTTCCTATTCCTTGTATTAGAAGAAGGAATAGATGTAAAATAGCAGAAACTATCTTTTCAATCACTAGAGCTGCACCAAAACAAATCTCCGATATTATACGAGCTGCCAACGCGAGGATAATTTTTATCACTTCGCGAATCACACCAAACATCTCCTGCAGTAAGGTGTGCAATCCTTCTCCAATATAACGCACCAGAAGTAGGTAGAAATTACAGATGAGTAGCACGATGAGATGTCCAATGCGCAAAAGCAATGGTTTGAAAATGGAACGTTCAACGAAAGTGTCAGTTTGTTTCGCTCGTTTTGGCGCCATATCACGCGAATCAAACAGTCGAGATACTCAGTCTTTTCTCTCTGCGAATAAATATAGAGACACTTTGAAAGTTCAAAGGAGTCATAAAATTTCTCAGTAAACTTCCAGAGTCCATTTATGAGCCCTTTCAGAGTGTTCAGAAGCTTGAAATCGCTTCGACGTTTTAAAGAGCGTTCGGCCCTATCGCTCTGGATATTTCGAAGCCAAGCGAGTTCGACGAGCCGAACCCTCGACGTTCTTTCGCTTTCGCCGTCACAAATAAGGATAACCCGTACAATCTTGTCTTAACTCAGGCCGTGTTAGTTTTGAAACTGTGATGATGTATTCCCAATCGCCGAGAGAACTGAAGACGATGCATGGACGCTGAGGTTATGATAATTGAGCGGTGTCATCTCAAATTATGCACGTCACGCAAATACATATGAGAAACAATATTGATTTACATACGTTGCCAGAATAAGTGGTAGAAAAACTCGGTTTACTTTTTCAGTAATCGGTTTCAAAATTGTTCTCATGGTAACAAGTCCATCCTGTTCAATAATGAAGGAATATTTCTCGTTTCACTGGATCCAATAGTTATCGTCACTCATGATACCGCCTGATCGCTAGCATAGACAAAATAGTATTACATATGGATAAAGGGGGTAACTTTCTGGAGAAACTGTGGTGCTGCGTCGGTAGTTGATAATACTAAATTACCACAGTATTACATACATTTGCGGTTTACTTCATAGAACTTTGATACATAATCAATAAATATCTCGTTTAACCACTGATTAGTGATTGAAGAAGGACTTCATGATTCGAATTACAAAGTAAGCAACAGCAAACACGACCACTACAACCGAATAGCCAAGTATTGTAATGATCTGCTGCAATTGGCGAACGAAGAAACGGCTGCCACAGTCTATTGCTTGTAGAATGTTACCAATGACAATGTTCCATAATTCCTCAACGCCACCCAGAATCATTCTCATGGAAGACACTGTTATTTCCTTAGCGAGTCTCAAAATAGTTCGGATGAAACATCGCCACGGCTCGGTGAATAGACGGACAGTTCCGAAGAATATAAAGCCAACTATATCTTTGAGAACACATACGATGGCAAGGAATGACCCAACGAAGACTCTCAGACCAGAGAGAATTCCTTTGCACTTGCTGTTACTCCCCTTCACTCTAGTTTCGGTTACACGTTTCATTTTGCTTTGTGTAATGTTTCTTTCTGGCACATTTTCGAAATCCTTGTTAAACAAGGTGCGATGTTCAAAGGTCTTTCTCGCGGCTTACTTGTTATAACGTGTCGTCGCTTGCAGTTTATTCCCAAGGCGATTCGATGTGGATTGTCGATAAATTCACGAAAGTATGCTAGGTGTTTTGAATGTCCAGTGAAACCACCGCGATGATAAAGGTGTCAAATTTTGGTAGAAGCGATTTCTATTCATTCCAATGTCGAATATCATATACGTGTGTCAGGACTTTATCGGCAAGACCGTCACGAAGTGGAAATAAACATGAAAGTAAAGTGCTGAAAGCAACGTCACGCAATACTCAACAATGCTGTACACCATGTCAGTATCAAAGTCCAACGCCGCTAGTGTGACGATTTTATAAACTACCCTTAATTCGTAAAAAATGTCGCAATAAATACATGAATGAATAGGTTCATTGATAAATATATATAAATAATAAGATATGGTAGATAGTGATAGAGGTACAATACTTTGATAAAAATGGTGGATAATGGTAAAAAAGGAGCAGGGGGAAACAGCTAGCTAGAGGCTGATTGTTGAGACCCTCTGCGTCAGTTAGTGCGAAGGTGACTGAAGGGCTAGTGATATTTAATTTTTTTTTTAACATCAATTTATTTTTACGAACTAAGACTTCTTATATATTCGATGCATCGTGGCGACGTTGTACCCTTTGTGCTCGAGGGAGGGACAGCAGTAAAGGTTCACTAAAGTGTGCCGCCGAATTACGAAACTAACATGATCACAAGCAACAGTGCTAAACCACATTCCCTAAATGCCCTTGCAGATTTGGAAGTCATGGCCCAACCAGAGAAAAAGTCAGAGTGATCGAAGGGGGTCTTTCAGCTCAGAAGTAACAAGAGAGCTAACAAACCACAGTGTACTAAAGACATATCACTTTATTAATACATATCTATACACAGCATTCTCAGGATTTAAATAGACTATTTACAGCTAAAATATGCGATTCAAGTTACCAAACTACCAATCTGACCAAAAATGCCAAAACACTCTTGCAATGTGGAAATAGATGATTATCTCCTTCATAAATCTTTACCAAATAAAAGCTTAAATTTCTCGCATTAAATATATAAAGAATTTTATTTATAACTATTGACTCTTTTCGCGATGGCCTGGTTTCTTTAAAGTACACGACTGAAATGAGAAGTTAGAGTGAAGTGTAACACAGAATAAGGTAATCAATTTTTTGAAAGAGAAATACTCAAAACGAGTGCATTTTTGAACAATATATTGTCTCTTTATTCAACGATTGCTGTTGAGGTCATGAATTAAAATCCCAGACTCGCACTCTTTGATCATAAGAAACACTGATGATCCTAGTGGAATCCACATGGATGCAGTTCACATTGTCCTTGTGTCCTTTAAGTGTTTGAATACAGGAACCCCTGAGCAAGAAAAAGAAGCAATCAATAAATTGCGCGATTCATTTAAAGACTAGTCTGTCCGTCTCTCTGTCCAACGGTCCGTCCGCCATTCTATTTGTCAGTAAGTCAGGCAAACAGAAAGTCATTAATTGAATACGTCAATCAATCAATCGACCAATCAATTAATCAATCAATCAATCAACCAATTAATCAATCAACCAATCAATCATCCATGACATGAGTATTAATACACAATGAACAACACATTGATTAATTGATGAATAACCAGGGTCCCTCGGTAACATTTGATCAATAACCAGGGTTCCTCTGTTAGACAGCCATGTACCTGAATGGGCCACCCTGACTAAATAAAGTTACCCATCAATTTTACATTTGTTAAAAAAGCAGTCTGGCATGTTAGTTTTGAGTTTCGTGATTGCCAAATTATGTCTTCATTAGTTTCATTAAAATACAAATACCAATTTTAATATGTTTATGCAAAATCTTAATAAGGAAGATAACGATGTGGATTGTCAATTCAAAAACTGTAGAGTTGCTATCGGCACACTTATATGAAACTTACTGTTCAATGTCCCAGTACTTTATCAGACCGTCTTTACCAGCGCTGACTATGAGGCCCGCTTCTTTCTTCCCATTCACCATTATGAACTTCAGTTTAATAGATTCAATCCTGAAAAATCATTAAGAAGTGTGAGGACTGCTGATCACCTTGGGGAAAAAAGTGTGTGGGCTGTGAAACAAGAGAGTCACATGGGACTAAATCTAAGGAAGCTCGCAATAATCCAAGTTTGAAAGTGTGAGATAGATTTCAGTTTCCTTACACTGTCCAACCTTTATACATATTAGTCTCAAATTCTGTAAATGCATCTTTTTGATAGCTGTCGATATAACATACATGACGTACCTTCCTTTGTGTCCTTTGAACTCATTTACACAGGCACCTGTCTCAAGGTTCCATAGCGACACCAGCTGTCCCGACCCTACCACTACATGACCCTGCACACAAATTGCAAATTAATGGCAGTTAAAATTTACTGTCGACAATTTATCGAATTATCGATGGGAGGTTGTTGCAGCCATCCTTCAATATGGGTAAAGAAGTCATATATACAGCTAAACGAGTGTGTGGGAGGAGGGGGGGGGGTGGGGGACATTCAAATAAACGAATCCTTTTTTACTCTTTTCTTTATTAAGTTGACTTCCTTGGCACTAATTATTATCCGCCTTTCTCTAGTTTTAGTATATTACACAGAAGAGGCGTGGATTGAGTTAAATGATGTACAAAGTGGCAATCATTATGCCAAAATGTTGAATTTTCCAAGGAGAATTCATTATATATTTTTTATACATTGTGTTGGAGAGATATTTTTGGAGCCCGGATTATTCAACGAACGTGCATCATATGCAAAACCGTATGTTAGTACTAACCTGATCAAAACTCACAGCAGTCACTGTGGAGCCAGACAGTTGTCCGATGTTGAAGGACAAAAGACAACCACCTGTGGACACCTCCCACACTCGTACAGTCTACAAAAAAAAGCACATCGACTATTGTATTAGACATTAGTTCAAGACTTTTGGCTACATTATCTACGTTTAGGGAGCTACGTCATCGTTTGCCCCTTTTGGAAAACTTAGTCAAGAGATAGTACATAATTTCTTATCCGCGTTCATCGTCACCATCCTTAACTATAGTCTGAGTCTTACCCCCGTTGTTCTACCCTTACGCACAGTTCTCTCCCTGATTTCAGGGATTAACACTTTAGATACTAAGAATGGCTAGCGTCTAATTTCTCCCTAAGGTATTACCACTGAATTTAACATTTTAAAAGAGAAACGGAAATGACCGTCAACTAGAGATATAGATCGCTGTACGAATTCTATGTGTGACAAATATGGGAAATGCATAGAGAACAGTATCGAGAATGCGCATACTGATTTTAAGTCATTGATCCTTTGAGTTGCATTTTCAAATGCTACCAGGCTAGCGTTCAGGGAGCTAGTGGACAAGATGCAGTCTCCACCTGCAGACCTGTTATTATCAAAATATCACGAAAATAACTTGGTAAAAAAGACGAATGCGGAGGAGATGGGATAGACACGTTTGTAAAAATTCTTGATATGAATATTTCCATTGCAAAATTAAATTTCGTGGAGATGAAGATCTTTAGTCATAGAGCAAGGACCTTACCCTGTCTCCTGAGCCAGTGAACGCTTTTTTACATTCATTATCCAGATCGACACAGAAAACACAACCATTGTGACCCATCAACGAGAAAAGGAGTTTACACTGACGAATGTTCCAGATTTTGGCCTGAATGAGGAAATAATGTCCATTCATAGGTCAGGTAAAGCGGCAATGCAACAAATTAACCAAAAAGTTAAACTGATAAGTAACCGTACTTTGTATTTCTAAGAGTACTTCATGGAGAACCCTAACAGGTCTGAAACGACTTAAGAGACAAGGGTATGTGTTGTTTACCACTGGGAACTCTCAAGCAAATTTGAGCCCTGACGTGTTGTGCTGTATTATGATTTCTGTTATTTTTTTTCTTATTTGCGTATATGAACCTCAAGATGGAACAAGACCTGATCGTGTTAATCACCAATACTAATAATGAGGTCTGCATTACAAAAACACTCAGTTAGCTACTGAGAAGCTGATCATTTACTGACCGTTTTGTCGCTTGATCCACTGACAAGGAAATCTCCCTTACGTTCGATGGCCCAGACGGGACCATCATGACTTATCAATATTCTACAACGAAAAATACAACACATAATGATCTGTTATCTCTAACACAACCCTTTCACAAAGAATCTAGGGTTTATCCCGACCTCCCTCACGGTAGCATATAAGCTGAGGCAGTGGATCAAAGAAGGGTCGTAATATTCCAACAGCCAAACATTAATACTCGCCATTTTTCCACTTTTTTAAAAATTGTTTTCTTCTCATTTCCCATTCGCACGCTAAGAAAAAGAAAGAGCAATCTGAGCTTGACTTATGGGTGAGTCTGTTGTTGTAGTTTCTTACCTTACACACATATTTGTTCGGAGGCTCCAGAGCTAAAAACGAAGCAAACCAAGAAAACGATTAAATACATACCCCTCCCTATATTAGTACAGGAAAAAAAGAACTTCAACGAGCCTGTCCTTTTCCACAGGCTTGAAGAAAATGCACAAAAGGGGTACATCACACGACTGCTAGGACATTCGGGTTGGGTCTGCCATCCAAATTTTATAATAACTAACTGGCTATGTAGGTTCAGTAGACTGAATATTCTCATTTTCAGGGATGGATTAACAATACACTTATTTTACTTTAAATTACTTCCTGTAAAAATATGTGATCCCTCCGCGAGAATTTCCCAATAAAAACATTTTTGAAGACAATTGGCTTAAAACAGAAAATCTCACAACATGAGAGCACGTTGACGTTCAAGGAAAATGGGAGTTGTTCACTGTCCTTGATGCATACAATGGTTTCCATTCGGCTTCACCGAATCGACGAGTTTGTGACGGTTTCGCCCCACTGCAAGTTCGCCCAGTGAAAGAAAAAAGTTTCCCACAGTGATTAAACTTTATAAGGATGATCATTACGCTTGTAACTAAAGCCAGGCAAGTAACGTGCCTTCTGGGCGTACAAGTCGCTCGAGAGGGATTGATCAAGATGAACTTGACCTAATGGTCAAGAGTGCTTTCATGAATGAAGTTAACTGGACTTAAGGAGAGATAACGAGTTCTATAAATCTTATGCGAACATATGCATAAGTAGAGTCAAGCTAATTACATGAAGACCAGTGTAACATAGTGCATTTGCGTTTCTCGTGCTGTCGCATGTAGGTAAACATGGCTAGGAATTTCCATATTGATAAAATTTTATCATGGTTTCGCAGTAACTCCTCTTGTTGATCGAAAAAAAAAAAGAAACGTAAGTAGGCTTTGCCGTAAGGAAAAGAGTTGAAAGATTTGAGGGCAAATTGGTTGAAGTGGGGGTGAACTTAATATTTTTGATGGGGCGACCTCGTCATACTGAGGGGGAAACTTCCAGATACCGAACGACGCCTTCCATAAAGCAAAAGAACCAGACAATCAATGTCTTTCTTTTAAAGGGCCTTAATGACGGAGTCCATTGTTTCGAGTACAGGACTACTTCTCATTCCTTTCCCATTTCACTCAAAGTACTCACCCGAATAGTTTTGTCGTATGATCCACTTATCAGAATAGAACTTGACAAGAACCGCAAACTCCAAATACCACGCTGTCAATGGTAAAATAACAAATAAACTACTTTCAGTATACGAGGATTCTTTAAAGCAAATTTCAAGAGAAAATAAACTAAGGGTATTGAAAAGGTGTGATGGTTTTATCATCTAACGAGAACAGCCTATAGCATGACAAACTACTTCTGGGCTGTATTGTGCAGGCAGGTAACCTGATAAAAGCTTTATGATAATAATAACGATAAGGTTTTATAACAATAAGTTGGGCAAAGCACCAAGGTCAACAAAGATAATGATTAAGTTCTCCATCCTTATTAAAGAAAAAAAAAGAAAAGAGATGGAACAACAACTGTGAAAGTCACAACAAAGACGATAGTAACGAAAAAAGATGCAAAAACAATAAACAGCAACCAACCCAATTGAACATTTTTTATGACTCGCAACAAATATAAAATTACTCTTTTACCGTATGTCCTTGGAATGTCAGAAGCAATGTACCACTTTTGGCATCCCAGATTCTGTAGAAAAAAACAAATAACTAAAACAAAGCAAACATAGAAAAGCTTTCTTATTAACGTAAAACAAAACAAATTTACGAGTGAGAAGCTCACGAGAAACACAATCACTGAGAACACATACATGTTGAAAAAGTACACAAGAAAGTAAAAACTGGTGATTCTCTCACTTTATCGTTCTATCCAAACTTCCGGTCGCAACGTAGTTCTTGTAAGCACACACGGAAAGTACGCTGAAAGATGAAAACAATCTCAAATACTGCGCGAATGTTCTAGAATGTAGTAAAAGTCGGCCTTTTGTTCCACTTAGTACGACCCATCCACTCGCCACCAAGAGGTAAAAACCTTGGAAAAAAAACCCAACACTTACTTGTGGGTGTGGCCACTCATGTCAGTCACTTTGCAGCGGCCATTTGCCCAGTTTCGCTTCAGGTTAAGATTTTCTCTAAAGATGTCCTTCCATACAGCTGGAGTACTCAGTGGCACACCTTGAATGGAAAATGACGTTTAAAAATCAATTAACTTCAGAGATTTTTCAATTACCACATCAGTGAGCTCAGTTGAAAGAAGATTTTGCACTCACCAACATAAGTTTCTTGACATTTTGCTTTCCAGAGCTCATCTTTAGACGCAAGACGACGCCAGGTTTTACTCACCTTCATTCAAAATGGAAATATTTTTTAGTGTATTACAAAGAATGCAAAGCTATTATCAATACTATAACTATATGCTGCCTGTAATGAATTTAACATTAGGGACCTATTTTATTTTTCCTGATGTCTACATTTATGCACGACTTAATCACCATTCTAGAAAAGTGATTTTAGAGAGTCGGGGTTGATGAAAACGATAAAAATAACACCATCATGAACAAAAAAAAAATTGGGGTACAACGACAGGTATGCTAACTCAGCTCTTACCTGACAAACAACTAGAAGTTCCTTTGGAACAAGAAAAGAAAAAATGCGAATAGCTAACTGCTCTGGGAGCATGGCTATAAAATCTCGATACTGTTTAACCTGAAAGAAAGAAAAATACTTTAAATTCATATCACGTAGAGAGAGAGAGGTAGATAACTGAAGCTTGTTGCCACAATTCGGTTACGACAAAATTTAACTTTAATTTGCCTCTCTATTTAACTTTAATTTGCCACTCTATTGCGAGTGAAATGTTTATTTATTGTGTACCTAACAAACCGTTGATAATCAAAAATTACGATTTCAAGACATATTTTGTGTAGTGCACAAGTCGCACACAAAGCTAAATTAACTTACAGCGAGAAGTCCGGAAAGAAAGTAAAGTTCGCTAGGCGCAAGAACCCTCAGGAACAGCTGAAGAAATTCATTCTTTTGCCAACCTACAGTTAAAGAGAGGTGAAATACACATTAAGTGGTGTTTACTGTTGACCAGCCATCCATAATTGCCATCCATAATGGCTCAATGGCAGAGTAGAGGGGAGAAAAAGAAGGAATAGGGAAAGGAAAGAGGGAGGGAGGGGGGGAAAGGAAAGAGGGAGGGAGGGGGGAAAGGAAAGAGGGAGGGAGGGGGGAAAGGAAAGAGGGAGGGAGGGGGGGAAGGAAAGAGGGAGGGAGGGGGGAAAGGAAAGAGGAGGGAGGGGGGAAAGGAATTCCCTTTTTCCGCTCTCTTTCCTCGTCCTTGTCCCTGACTCCACCATCTTTCTCTGTTTACGTCTGCCTACAGGTAATCAAACTGTTTTAAGTTCAACTGACTGTAGCGTGGCCTTACCGCTCCACTGTTGCTCAAACCACTGAACAAGACACTGAGCATTCTCTGGTAATGAAATCAAATTCCACGCTGAGTTTGGACCTTGTTCAGTTTTGGTACGGTGCTGAGAAAGAACGAAAATAAAAACGTGATAGTGAGACAGGAGCATGCTCCTGAGTGAGAGGAAAACAAAGCAAGGAATCCACAAGTCGAATCAATGAAGATTATTTTGCACTTGGGAAAGGTTTGCAACTCAAGGAATTTCAGTTCCCAGGTCAGCTTTCCTAACCTTTCTCTGCCAACCATTTCATCCTGGGTCGAAAGAACTTATGTAGGAGTACACAATCTCTTCTTGGAACATAACAGAATAAAACTGGCCGCTTTGTCTCCATGTACGCGCCGGTTCAACTCTTGCCTACTTGTCTAATCACTTCCTGTACAGTCTGGTAATGAGATAAAATTTTACTTACATGCAGCACATGCCTCTGCTGACCGACCACAGATTTTGCCGTGTGAGACACATTGGGGCAAGACTTCGATTTATACAATCTTTGCCTGAGAAGGTTGAAAATAAAATTAGAGTCTAACCGTGTACAGCGTATGTAACGGTCAGTGATGTTTAATAACAACTGTAAATCGTGCTCTAGAGTGCACTTTCATTTAACCATTAGGAAACAATACACTTTGCCAACTCTTTGTTTGTATAGCTACATGTAAAGAAAGATAAAGGAGGGGTCGAGTTTTCTTTCGTCAGACATTGCACACTGCTAGACTGAGGATCAATCTGACACAGAGAGGTCAATTTACATTCATAATAAAAGGCATACACCGGTTGATCGCGTTTCAAAGGAGATACTAATTTACTAACTCATGCATACAGGCGGGAGAACATATCCTGTCTTGGATGCCGACAAAAATCAGAATAGAAATACACCATGTATGCCGAAAGTTAGGCGAGCGATGCGCACGGCAATTTCCGAAATAGTGGGGTAAACATACGTGTATCTCTTGGGAAATGCTAGCTCAATTGCTAACCCTACTTACATGTACGTATATTGAAAAAGAAATACGACCACCAATTGATTTTGCTTGATCGTAATGGAAAAACCTTACTCCACCTACCACGACGTAACGTCGTCAGCCTTTCTCCCACTATCCATTGCAGCATTGTTGATTACATCCTTCTTGTACTCATTCTGCATGTGGCGTCGCACAGCATGTTGGGAAGAAGTTTTGGTAGCCCCACAAGGTGGTGCTGAGCGACTTCCTGTAAATCTTGATAGAGATCGCTTTTGACCTCCAACACTTGAAATTCCTGGTAATTTAACTCCAAAATAGGTTGTTTTCGATTTCCATGAACCTCTGGACTCTACTCTCTCAGGGGAACTGCTTAACAAAGAGATAAAATGCATTACATGTAGGCAACCTTTTTAAGGGAATTTGAGAGAACATTCACAATGGCCATAGGGCCAATACTGTTGATTGGAGCAATAACTTTTTCTGCTCGTTTTCTCAATGTTACATAATACTGATTACATATTTAGCTTTTCGATACCAAACTGAGACTTGCTGGAGGTTTTCAAGGACGCAGCAGCCTTAGATGCCACGTTATCCTGTGGGCCATTAAGGATTTTTGGTAAATTGGCAACATCGCTTCTGATAGAATTTTCAACAGAAGAGTGTCGCTTACCAGCTCGACCGCCTCTTAAATGCTAGAGAGCCTGTTCGCCTGGTGCTTTTTATGGACCGAGAAGATCAATTTCTTCATAAATTCTCGTCAACGGACATCCCGGTTCTCGCTTCGTTTAAGTGATTATTTCCCGAATCCCGCTCTTTAAAATCGCCGATTCCCATGTTCCGTCCATGATACCAATCCCGCATCTCACTCCCTTCTTACTCGAAATTCCCAGATCCCGGCCTTCAAATATGCCGAAAAACCTATTGAGGAGCCTCAACTTTATTCTGTGGTGTTATTCCCAGAAAGATGAACGATTCCCGTCTAGACCTTTCCTTCATATCTCGCCGAAGCTTTGCTTCTAGCGACTGTATTAAAGATGAAATGTTCCTGACAGTTTTTGATAAAGGTGAGGCCCTTCGCTGGATTCAGGAACACCTAGCCAATGGTCGCAGGGGACAGACACGAAAACAAATTTTCATTTAGATTGTTACCGTAAAACAACAGTGATAAATTAACGTTTCCTACCGGAGGCATTTTTATTGATTGTTTGAAGTATTTACTCACGGTGTTCTCTTCGTTTGTCGCGATGGTGACGCAAGGGAAGGACTCTTCACAATTGGTAAAACAGCAGTTGATGTCCAGGCTTTCACCTCTTCCTATGAGATTGAACAGTAGCAAAAATTACTGAAACGATGTGCAAAACATTAGGCGAGAAGAAGAGGTGAAATATTTTCTAAACTTATACGAGGGTCAGCAGTCCTTTGGTGCTACCAGGTACGATGCAATTTATATCAATGTACATGTTCATCTGTTTGTGAAGATGAGAACAAAGGTTTATGATGGAGAGAAAGAAAAACAAAAAAACGAAAACAAAAACAAATGTATGGTACGGTTCACAACTGTGAAGTGATCACAAACTACTTGAATTAATTTAAGGGGGAGAGTTCTAGCCGCCATTTTTTTCCAGACATTTCCCATAATTCCCTTCCGAAAGAGACACCAGAAGGTACTGTACATGCCGTACATTGACAGCTGAGGGCCATTGAGCACGAGTCCGTCGTTAACTAAACAACAACAACGAAAAAAAACAACTGAATGAAAGTTCCTGGAAATTCGATTCTTTCGTGTTTAATTGAAAGACATCCGATAGCTTCGGCTAAGAAATTAACCGTTCATAAGGTCAGTTTCTTGTTTCATACACCTGTAAGTATAAAAATCCCCTTTGTTTAAGTTTTAAATGACCTCAACAAGCTATTGATATTACGATATTTTCATACTGCTTCTGACTGCATTTTTCTTTAAAATGAAGTTACGCAAAGTGTCTCTTACTTCATCGTGAAGGATGGCACTCTCCACCCGGTGAAGCTTCCATGCCTAAGTAAATAAAGAGGAATTGTGCGAGTGGAAAAAATTAAATGAATGTTTGAGATCCTCTTTAAAACTTTCAGTTTGAGTCAGAAGAACTTGAAACCTATTTTTAAGCTAACGACTTGAGCAGTAACATTTCGTTAAAAAAAAAACCCTGAAATCTTAAAAAATAATTCCTTATTACAATTACTCGTTCAATACTCTTTAACAAACCTCTAAGTATATGTCATGAGGCAAGTGAAATGATTTTCAATTGATCAACATTGAAATTGATGAAATGAAAGCTTTAAAAGTTTACGGTCAAAATTGGACAAAAGAATTATCTGACCAAATCCTTGTAATAAAAAGAGAAAAAGAAAAAAACAAATTCAACTTGTTAGTTTATATTCATTTTTTTTTTCTGTTTTGTTTATTTGGAATAATTTAATTTTCACCCAGAGGGTAGTAAAAGCAAGACATTCCAGACCTTGGATTGAGATTGGGAGATAATCTTAAAACTTTGATTCACTTAAGGAGTCGGAATAGGTACATCTGTAAATTTTTTTTGCTTGCATGTAGATGGTTAAATCTCAGATCAATATGTAACTAATAGAAGAGATGAGATGCAAAAGAAAAAAAAACAACAACAGCATACTCTGTATCTTGGCTTCCCAAGTTTTTTATGAACTTCTCTACACAGTGGTGTTGACACAGGGCTGAATGAACTTCTTGGAAATGCATTCAGTGAACTGTACATAAAGTCTCTGTGTAATGTTGGCTCAACCACCTTACAATGAAAAAAGAAATATAATAAATAATTTGGTTGTCCTAACTTGAAACAATTCTTTATCTGATAATCAAATTCAAATATTTCACACAATATAACTGTACAATATTTGTCTCATTGTTCATTTTTTTTCTTCAATATGTTAATCTTTCAACCATTTTAAATGCTATATTTAGTACAGAATTGAATTATAAAATTTCAATTATTATCTTACTGTCCAAAGGAACGTGATTTGTTCTTGATCACAGCGTGGAAGAAGGAGATCAATCACACTGCGTCTCTGCAACAAAGTTTAAGAAGGTAAATTAAGTTATTAGAATATTTTCTCTCTCTTTCTACTGTCAAACTGAGAAAACCATGAACACCCTAAATTTGTCTGCAATGTTTGTGTTTTGACCAATCACATGAAAGATCAGGACATGTATTAAGTAAACCACAAAACCAAAACTTGATTAGTGTTGCACCATATGATATTTCATGTCTGATTAGCTTATTTTCCTTGATTCAATCCCATTAGAGCAACACACCATACATTTACAGTCTTCTGAGTATCACACAGATCTTATTGTTTTTCAACAAATTTCATGAGGCATTTTAATAAAGAAGAGATGAAATTACACTTGATAGAGACAAGGGTTTTATTATTTTGTAATTTGTTCAGGGGTATGATAGCTACCTTAAGTTTATAAGTACGAATAGAATGCTTTTTTGTGTTTCATTTCACATTTTACCAATATTATTATTGCAGATAAAAACAGCCATGTTTATCTACTGATATAGAACATGCTCTTTGCCATTGCTCATCACTCTAAAATTGAAGTTTTGGGGGAAATTATAATTATTTGCTATGTCATCTCTATTCTCTAACTGGTTCAGGATTCTGTAATCTTTTCCTCAGGTGCATTTCTAGAAAAATGAGAGTTGCTTGAAGCACTAATCTTTTTCGTTAGGCACTAGAAACTGTTCAGGTAAGGCATAAGCTGGTATGAGATCAATGTTTTTGATCCGTAGTTGACATTGTTGGCAGCTTTACTGGTACTTGATAACTCTTAAACATCTTACATGGTCCTTTTCAAATTTTTGTTTTGTATTTTATTTGCCTATTCATTGTCTCTATACAGAAGCATATAACCTTCAGGTATATGGTTCTGGTTCTACATGAAGAATTACAATAACACCTATCATTCTGTGCATTCTGAACTATTGTCTCTCAGATTATCCTTATAATCCCCTCTTTGAAATTTTAATGTTGGAGGAAAAATTAATTAACGTAGTATTTTTCCAATTCTAAAATTTTGTCTTGAGGAAACCTAGCAGCACTGTACAGCAACAATATTTAATTAGAGGAAATGGGCTATACTCGGCATACTTGAAAATAAGCTGAAACTGAGTAACGCGAGAGAATTTTAATTATAGAAAAGATAAACAAATTAGGAATTAGAAAGAGACCTCAAGAGTAAGTTCCATGCGAAAAATTAGCACAAATGTTAAAATTGCCGGTATCTAGTAGGAAAGCGTGCTACTGTTTCCGACAACATTGTACAAGGCCAGGATAAAAAGAAAAACAAACGCCCTCCCGAGGTAAAACTTATTCCCGATCGCACCATGCGAGTAACACCAATTTAACACCATTGCATCAACGATTAGACTAACATCTCTAATTACCTTCCATTCTGCCAAAAAAGAACGGTTACGATGACTCAGACCACATTTTAAATCGAGCAAAATTACAATATGAAGTATGAAGCACTCTCTTCAGACGAAAAAAGCTGCTTAAATACAAAGCATTAAAGCAAACGCAAAAGTGAATAACGGCATGATATTGAGTAAACAAATGCATCATTTTCCGTATGCATTCATAACTAATAGACAGCGACTTGTTCGATCACGATCGACAAGTTTCACTCTACACGTTAAATTACGCTTATCTCACCACTTGATCGCTCCATTTCTCCATCCACTGACACAGATAATCTAACTGCTGTTCATACTCGAGTGTACTGAGAGGCCTGTGTTTAGCAAAACCGTTTAACATGACTGCTATAATTGACTCCACGAGAAGCGCGCTGTCGTCTCGTGTTCGATTTCGATAACCTGTTCCATTTCGCCACTTCCACTTGCGCTTCTTTCGGTAAAATTCATTTCTTACAGACGAAAATGGCCAGCTAGGGCATCTAGGTACCCAAGTGTATCAAAGAATGCCACTTTTGGTCGGTCATCAGCCTACTGCGGAAAGACTGACTGGTTGCCAACCGCATTTGTTGCTATCGATATTCGACTCAGTAGTCCTACTAATTATGTTAATGTATTCAGAGGCTATATTAATTTCCGGCGGAAGTACAGCTACTACGGGGCTAGGCTTCACTTACAGAGAATCTGAACTTTTATACTAAAATATTCCGCGATGAATAACATATGTCATGTAGCAAAATCAGATGAAACATGCATAGAATATCAGTGAATTTTCCTAGGATTTTTATTTCGTAAGGATGGAATTTTATTCGTGGCGGGTGCCCGGGTGGTAATGGATTTGGTCTGTGAACTAGAATAACAACTCTTTCACAACAAAAACAAATGTTTGAAGAGCCCAATTTCTACACCAGGCATTAGTGTAGTACTACAGCAATGCCAAAGTATTATCAATACAACTGAATGAAAAAGGGAAACTATGCTATCTATGTGTGTGGTTGTACATTACTACGACAATTGTTGTAAACTTAAAGTACTTTTGGTCCCTCGAACCTTATTGAATATCATAAAAAAAAAACTCGCAGCTTGGAGCCATGCTACGTCCTCTCTGATCGTAGGTGTGAAACCTCAGTGATTGTTAACCAAAACCAATCAGTTGCTTAAATTTAATATCTTCTCTGCCCACATATCTCATGGCCTGTGTCAGTTTAGGGTTACAAGTACGCATGGATCGTACAGTCGTGACTGTGTCAGAAATGAGAAAATCGGACGGAAAGTTCAGCTTGTTGCACATATTTGTTTATAGTCAATCTAGCTTACCCGTTGCACACAGGAGGCAATAAGTGTGATAACCATGGACTTCTCGTGCTGAAATAATATAAATGTTATCTGAACGGGCAATGGGAGATCGGCTTCGTTCTGAAAACTGGCGACTTCACTTAATTTTGTCAGCGGAGTTTTACTAATTATCAGCGCAATTTAAGAGCGGATAGGTTGTTGTCCATCATTTCGTCAGACTCTGAAGATCCTTGGAATGTCCTAGTTGAAGCTTGCTGCATGATGAACCACAGCTATTTTGCTGGTCTGTTGGAGAATTATCGCAAACGGATGAAGATGGATCCAAGTGTTTTGTCTATCCGAAAAGCGTTATACGACAGCTATAAAAACGAATCCTTTAAACTAAGAGAGCGGCAACGACAAGAAATGGCCAAGCAAAGGCGAGACCAAATGGAAACTGATCGAATTTTTCAAAACAGGCTGAAGGAAATCAAAGAGAAAGAGAAGGAAATTGGTAAACGCTATGCGCACCTGAGAAAATTGCCAAAAGAAAACGAGGTACTTCGATACACAGAGCCACATAAAGAGAAAGAAAACTCCACGCGACAAAAGCTGTTGATTTTACCGCCGTTGAATGGTTTGGAAATAAATTCAGAAAATGGAAAGGATTTATATCTCAGTGAAAATCAATTAATTCGAGATGCAAGGCGGGTCAACAAGCCACGTCATTCAGCGGAAACGAAACTGTGCCATCAATACAGCAACAAAGGTAGAGTCTTCCTGCAGAAACAGAAAAGCAATGGGCCGTTATCACCCCAGTCGAACAGTAGATATACTGAGAATCTACTCAACTATTATAAGAGTCCAAAAGGTTTACAAAGCTTCGAGAAATCGTTCTCATCAACTCAGGTAACTAACAAGAAGACCAACATATGTACTCTCGCGTTGGAAGAACAAAGTAGCTACACAGGCAACAAGGGGGATTTTCACATTTATTCACCGGATTACGACATTCTGGTAATAGAGCACGAAGAGGATAGATCCTCCCACGCAGAATTTTAGTGTAAAATAATAATTTAGCGACATTGTTGCAACGACCTCCTATTTTAAGTGTTCCACAAATAATGCAGGGTGAAAATTAATTAATATTCTGTCTTAAGTAACAAGTTACTTTGAAAAAGAATGGCTTTAAATTTATTTAACTGTTTGAGTAAATTTAGTTTTTTGTTTAATAATATATGATTACCGTCTCTGTTAACGCCATGAAAGATTTAAAAGACACACTTAAACTAACGAAACAAAAACAAAATAAAACTTATACGTATTTCGAGTCTGCATAGCTCTCAACTGTTATCTAATTCACTATTATGACAGCGATTTTATGCAATTCACATATAGTAAGTAAACTTTAATAGTGCAAATTATGATCCAGTTTCGAAATTAATCCGAGTTTTCTTTGGTTTTTCTTTTCTTCGTTCTATGATTGGTCCTGAAATCTAGCACCACTTTCTCAAACCATGAGATTTAAACGAAGGCAATCGCGACTTTTTGTTTTTACTTTGAATTTTCTTCGGCTCCTTGTGACATTTTCCTTTCCTCTGCTTGGCTGTCGTGAATACTGGAGTTTGGTTTATGACACTCAATCGAAACATGCTCCAAAGACGACGGGAAAAAAAAAAAAAAGAAGACGGCTGTACCGGTGAAGAACGAGCTCCGAGTGAGTGCTTATAACTGATGAGTTCTGGTTCCATGTGAATAACCAGAGAAAGAAGGAAGACCCCTTACTTCGCTTGTAGACTCAATAATCACGTAAAAGAAAAAAAACAAAGAAACAAAATATTATGCAGAGAACTATGCTTTTTAAGTGGCTAGACATATCGTAAACCGAAGTTTCATCAGCGATAATAATGCGAAGCATTTTAATTACAGTTTTGCGTTTCATTGTACTAAAATTTCATCAGTATACGCATAACGGGGGAAGTATATTTTCTTCTAAAAAAAAAGACCGTACATTAACTTATCTCAAACTGAAAAGGAAGGAAGATGAATTGTTATGCAAAATTACATAGACATTATCCTCACAGAATGTTGTTTTTAGATCGATCCGATTCTCACCCGGTTACAAAATGTCCCACGATTGATACTTTTCTATTTCAAATTAAGAAATGGCAAGATAATTTCAATTTCTTGGATATGAGTTTTGAGTCCTTGAACTGTATTTCTTGATGTAGCACAAAAGACGTTTTAAGAATTTGATTTAAGTTGCTAAGAGTTACGGTGGTCATTTCATAGTTGTTTGCCAGTAGACAAAGATCATTAGCCTCCAGGGACTTGAATAAAAAAGTGCCAACTAACATTAACTTAGATCGTAATTTGTATGTCAAAGAGCCAAACAGGCTGATATCCCACAGAGGCGGGACGACACATGTAAACAAGTATGCATAAGTATTTTTAGTTTGCTTTGATTAAGAAAGAATTTTAACAAAACAGCAGCAGCATCATCCCATCAAAAAAGATGCTTTTGAATCTTGGATCCAAGTTTGGAGGTGGAAGGATATTACCTTGTTGATGATCGAGATCAGTTCGGCGTCTATTGCTTTCTGCTTGGTGTTGATCCTGGTTGGTTTACTTCTTGTGGTATTGTACTTCTGTGAATTTGGCCCGCGGGGTCGCGGAGAGATGATGGAAGATTCCTACTCCGATGTTTTAACTACTGTTGTGGAAGAAAATTGTTACAAATCAAAGTTCATGACCAGGTGGGAAGTGCCCTGGCCTCTTCGTGAAGCAACCAGGAAAAACAACAATGAAACAAACGATGCAGTGATTGAAAACTGCGAAAGGAGGGAAGGATGTAGAACCTATTCGACAGACATACATTATGAGAATGACTCAGAAATTAGCCAACCTGACAGAATATACACGAGATTTCATGGGTTGACGACTTAATTTTATTTTAAATGGACATAAAACTTGTTTGTGCGTATTTCATTGGGATGATATTGGAACGCCAGTGCATAAATCAGCACAGTACGCAAAGCAATAAAGCTAATCATCCTACCTGATAATGAAGCTCTTTAAGCAGCATATTCATGTTCTAAGAGAGCCATGTAATTTGGACAAGATGCTAATTATGACCTTTCTACGTAGTCAACTTGCAATTGAGCGACATCATTGCGAAACTTAAAGTTGGCTTTCTTTGAAGTAAACAAATGAGACAAAGCAATATACATGTAGTAGGGAATGCCTTCCATAGAAGTTGAAACCAAAGGATTTGTCGAGCAAACAAAACAGGTTATACTGAGTCAAGAAAGCATGAACTACTCACGGTCTCTTGAATGAATACAAGATGCTGTTTTGTTTTGGAACAGGGTACCAGGGCACCATGTTCACTCTCGTTAGTTTTCTCCTTTTTTTTTTTTTTTTTTCAACGCATGGTTCTGCTTTGCAATTTTGACCTGTATATGTTAATTAGATCATCTTTCCTTTGAATCCATCTGATAATTGTGTCAACTTCTCTATGCTTTCGCGGAGTATTTGCTTCCCACTTGCAATGCATTTTAGTATTAAGTTTTTCGTGAAGAAGAGCACAGCCATCAAGATGGTAACAGATTGACCGACTGATCACTGTCAATCGGTTAGGTCAGGCGTTCGATCGGTCAGTCAGTGGTACAGTCAGTTAGTAATGAAGTGTGGCATTCAGACAGTCAGTCAGCCTGTCAAAAGTTGACGTTAAAGTTGTGATTAGCGAAGTTTACAACAAGTAGGGAACACCATGAGCCCTCAAATGTATGAGTTTAAAATGTTTACATATCTTTACAAAAAGTGTTCGTAGGCAAAATCAGTGGCCATATTACTTGCAGATACTAAGTGCAGCTAATTAATATCTCACAGCTTCTTACCCATTGTTACTAGATATGCTGATACATATTTCTACGTTTTTTAGTGTGAATTAGAAAGATCTCGAGACCGTAGAAAGTGTTTCAGTGAGAGGTGAAGGTTGTTCTGAAGCTTTAGGCCACCCTAAAGTGGGTTTAAATTGCATAAGAAACAAAATCAGTTTTGGAGCATTTCGACGCAATTTGGTAGTTTAGAAATTTTATAAAAATCTAGTTGCGAGAGCAGCTCTGAAAAATAAGAAATGAGCAAGTAGATCGGAATCATTGGGTGTCGAGAAAGGAGATACGTCAAGCATGTCATGTTCGTCATGTCCCAAGCCCTAGCTAGTTAGCTCTTGCTCACACGTCTTTATTTCGTGCGGGCCTCGAGTGGCCATGAGCATTGCTTCAGTAGTCCTTGATCTTGTACTCTGATTGTCCTGGTGAGCGGGAATCATCATCCGAGTCAGGTTAAGAGCTGTTTGTCAGTCCAGTGAATTAAATACAGTTCGTGTAAACTGATTGGTCGGGTTTGCCGTGATGATACTCGACTTGAGACTCAAGTAGCACGAGGTTGTCGTGATTGGCCAGTATTGATCAATCAATAATGTCAGTTCGTTCTGTTCGCTTCTTGTTTGAACGTCGTGGAAAAGTTGTCGGTATGGTGCAGGTCATAGTTCATTCTAGGGCATAAACACAGACGGAACCAAAACAAAACCACCCTAATAAGTCTCACCTTCAGTCTTTTTCAAAAGGAAAGAGGAGAGGAAGCGGGGGTGGGGGAATGGTAAATGTAATTTCAAGGACATTTTCCCTCGGAGAGCACATTTCCAAGAAGATTCTGTTACCACTAAATCGGTCTGAAAGCTCTCCTGACAGCCTTAGGTGTGAACCCTGCGTCGAAATGAACGTGCGTCAGCGATATGTATTACCGGCTTGACGAACAATATTTCATTCACGCCTATTATCATTTTCCTTCCTTTTTCTCTTTTTGCCGGGGGCAAATTGAAATTGGCACCTTTAGCAAATAAGTATTGCTGTCAAGTTTGAAAATCCGTGATCGAGGGAAAACTGAATTGAGATACCGAGGGCTACTTGACAACCGAACACAGAGATCATTTTGTCGATAGAAACACGGCTTCTTGTTATTGCTTGAGTGCCTCGGTGACGTAAAAAATTACGCTCGTATGACGCTTGTTTGGCTTTGCATCCCAGTCTCGAATTAATCCACAAATAGTTGTTAATGGTTTCGGTACGCTTGACATTTCTAAATGACAGATAACCTGAGAGGGAAGGAAAATTTAAATTTCCAAGAATATCAGCCCAGCTGCAACTGGTAAATACGCTTTATTTATTTACCGACAGAGGGGAAAATATGAATTTTAATTCTTAAGAACTATGTAGCGCTAGACCCGCGCAATAGGCCTGTGCTGGGCTTAAAACAAGTACAATACGGTATGTCTTGCACACTATTATTTACAACTGAGTGAAATTATTTTTATTTGTGGTATGCACCTTTTCGTTTCTTTTTTATTTCCATTTGACTGTATGCTAATAACAGTATTTAATTTGAAATTCGTTTTTCGTTTCGTTTCAGAGCAAGGACTTCCTTTGTATTGGCTCATCTATTCCTCGTCGATATTAGCCGCATTTTAGCACCTTGGAAATTTATTTCAAGTCCGCAAATTACGCTTGTAGTGTTGAAAAGAAATGAGTCGGCGAATGGTTCCGTTGTATTTCCTCGCTGGGTCCATGGGCTTTGTTGGTTTAGTAGTCTTGTGTTGGATTTTCTCTGTCGTTTGTCCGTACCCAAGAATACGCACATTTTGGCTCAGATATTTAGGAAACAAAAAAGCAGAGGTGGAATATTACCGCGCTAAACTACAAGAACAACGCACAGACATAACTTGAAGAAAACTGAAATTTTACGTTGACTGTTAATCAGCCGGACATGGCGGCAATTTTAAGATAATGTTTATAAAAGAAACTAATTGAAATACAAAATATCTAACACAGATTTTAACGAAACAGTCGATAAAAATAGAAAGTAGATGATTGCGAGCATACCTTCTACCTTATGTAGTCTTTTGAAGCACTGCTAATTAATACTGAGCCCTAAACGCAATTGTTACACATCCAACCAACCAAACAAATAAGCTGAAGCCACATTCAACTTGTCAACTTTCTGATCCTCAACCGCAATGGCGGATCTGGCTTAGCTGTCAATCGAATAACTGGTCTCACGGTGAATCCAGGAATCTCTTCAAATGTTAAGTGTCGCAACAAAGTAGATAACACAGCTTTCATCTCTGCCATGGCAAACTTACTCCCTATGCAGGAGCGAGGACCAGCGGAGAACGGCAAGAACGCATATGGATGGTGAGCTTGGTAGTTCTCATCTGCAAAGATAGTACACACACACACACACGATAATTTAATGACACGTTTAATTCTTAGAGATCTCTTTTATTAAATATAGCGTCCAAAAAATTTGTCATCTTTGTATGGCAAGTCCTGAAGTCTTCCGAAAGTTTTGATAGGTATTTAATAATATATAACAAATAATAAAATCTAATATAAAAGAAAAAACAAAAGCGTTCTTCGTGTGGCCGTGTGGGTAACTTTTTGCGACATCCATTTTGCGTATGTACATTTCTATCTGCGCGGTCAAACATAGAAAAACCATCCACTCCTCAGCACGCGAACCCGAAATGATCCTCAATGTATGTGCGTGTACAGATAAACTAATTTTAATCTAAATAGAGCTACTGTTGTCAGCCAATTCTTGAGTTAACAAATTTCCTCCTTGGAGAATACAGAGCCCTGTGGCTGGCAGGAATGGGAGGAGGGAGGGCTTAAGGGGTTCAGTCCAACCTCGTAAACTGAGATAAGTAACGTCAAAAGAAAATCTCAAAAAACAGTTGAGAAAAATGGCAACTCTTAATTGACTTGGTTGTTAGTAGAGTTGACAAGCTTAGCAGGAATACATCACTGGCAATGGTTTTTATGTAGCCAAGCAATATTTTAATGTAAAGGACTGAAAAATATAACAAATGAGGATTAAAATTTTATGCTTTAAAATACACAGATTTAGTCTCTGAGTGATGGAAAGCGCATTTCCAAACAACTTGAAATTCAAATTTTGGGAGGTGCCATACAGATGGGTCCCCCTCCTAGTGACTGCATTTGGCTCTCATTTGACCTTCCCCAAGAATCTTAACATAACTCAGTTCATAATTTAACAGGGATTTTTCCTGTTCTGCAAGGGCAGTCATGAAAGAAAAGCAAACAAGCAAATAAAAAAGAGAGAAATTTATGCCTCAATCTTACCGTTTTCATCAAACCTCTGTGGGTTAAAAGCATGTGGATCTTTCCAATACTTTGGGGAATAGTGAACAGCATCAATTCCAAGAGCTACTACAGCACCTTCAGGAATTTCATATCCACGAATCACATCATTTTTATTAGCAATACGTATTGCTACAGAAGCTGGAGAATGAAGTCGGAGAGATTCCTTAATGACATTACCAAGAAACTTCATCTCTGCCAGTTTTGCCCAAGTCATTTCTGATGAGTCCTTCATAACTAGTTTAATTTCTTCACGGATCTTTTCAGCAATGTCTGGATGTCTGGCCAGTTCATACAGAGTCCACATCATGGATACACTAGTGGTTTCATGACCAGCTAACATGAATGTGAACACCTGAGCTCTGAGAAGTTCATCATCCATGCTAGAGCCAGTCTCTTCATCATACTGATCCATTAACAGATCTAGCAAGTCTGGTTTAGAAGACACTTTTCCTCCCTCTTTCTTCTTTTTACGCCTTGCCTGAATGATCTGTTAAGGACAAAAGAAATATGGATCACATATCTAGCCAAAACAGCAACTTTTTTAAGTTTGTGTCAAAAGAACATACAGCAAAATGGTAAGGTGTTGGTTAGGCAACTTTAGTCATTACTGAAACAAATGTCTGAGTCACAGGTGCTAAATGGAAAAACCTGCAGGTTAAAAATTGTATTCCTTTAGAAAGGCTGGGGGGGGGGGAACCCTGTTATTATATCCCTGAATACAGAGAAACCTACTCAACTTCCTCAGATGGAGATCAAAAGATAGATGGTCAAGTGGAACTAATGCATCAGTAAAATATTGGCCAGGGGGGGCATGATGTAATTTAATAATCAGCCTCACATATCAAACACAAGAAGTGGTGACTGAAGCTGTGTCTCATTTGCAATCTGACCTGTACACTTGGTTGCTGATAAATAAGACTACATCAGCTTGCTCAAAAGCTGACCAATGGATGCTTATCAAATCAAATCAAATCAAAACTATCAATTTCTAGTATTGAATTTCTTTAAGATTAGAAGATAAGATTACAGTTTTTAGAAGAATTATTCAAACTTTCTTTTTAATTACATGTAATACAACTGTGTTGTTTTACATTCTTCAATTGCTTAGAATTATCATCTAACAGCATAACTAGTACACATAATAATAATTAATGAATCATAAACATTCAAAATTTATTAATGTTATTGGTGCATGAGCTGCTTTACTTTTCACAAATTACTTTGCAGAGTTGTAATCAGATAATGTAAGGGGACACTTAGTTATAATTGGACAAAAAACAATCGGACAGTTAAAGCAGCCAATCATACTAAAGCCACTCAGTTAAATCCAAAAATCACAGGATTAATTAAAATTACCTTAACAACAACCCCTTACCCAACAAAACTGGGGAATTTCAATAAGAGAGGATTTTTCATTTTAGACGATATCTCTAGCAGAGATATTTTCTCAAATAAATGCATTTGTTTTCTTGGAAATTGTAATGGTTATGATTAATCGGTAACAGGACTTTCTGTTGTCCCATTTGGTCTGTAATCATACTCGTGATCAACAAATTGGACTCTCACTTTGCAGTCATCCAATTTTGTAATCACTCATACGATTACAGACAGAATTGGACTCAACTCAGTCCTATTACCATTGTCAGTTGTTCTTAAATTGCATAGATATTGTATGGTTGCTTAGGCTTATCATACAATGATTGATGTTGATCAACATTGTGTTCAAGTGTCTCAGATTTCGTTTGTTAATGGTAGCTCTAAACTATGCATTATTATTCAGTCTGTAATGGATATCAAAAAATTGATGTTGTTGGTCCAAAAGAGTACGTGCCTAATTAGATATGCTTCCAATTTTAAGGTAATAAATCCAGTCACACCTTACCTCCAGGACAGTTTTATCTGTCAGTTCCAGACCTTTTCTTGCCCTTACATTATCAGGGAGTGGAAGATATTTGTAAAGTGGAATAAGTTTCTGTCTCATCAATCGGGAAAAATTGATTTCTAATATAACATCAGAGAATGCATTTGAAACTTCACTTTCTCCTGACAACACGGTGTCAAAATTGTACCCAAAGGCACATCTTCCAATGATATCTAATGTAAGATGAGTCAAGTCCACAGAGATGGAAGCCTCTGAGACTCCTTCTTTTGAGCTGTTTACTTGTTCAGTCCAAAGCTGCAAAAAAGCATTCAAGACCTTTCATTGCACCACAAGAGGATACACACTGGAACATAGTTCATGAATATGCAACAGACATTAATTAAAACTGGATAATTAACCCTCTACACCCTAAAATCAGTATGCAATGATTCTCTATACTGTTCCCTTTACATTTCCCAAGGTGCTGACAAGGAGAGTTCATTTAACTATCATGAGCTTCTTTATTTGGTGATCATTTCCTCTATCCTTGTGACCTTAATATGTAAATCAGGGGTAATACTGTTGGGAGAAATTAGATGCTAGTCACTTTTAGGATTAAAGGATTAAACTCTGTTATTTACTTTACTGCAAGTCCTCCTTTATCACCCCTCCTACAAATCCTTGTCTCAGAATTCTGTTCGAAGCAGTATAATTGTGCAGTTAACACTTAAGGAAACAGTTGAACAATCACTCTCTGTCAGTTGATGGACCAATAATTACTTGGCAAACAATTTCAGTGGAAACAAGGTTCGATTCTAGTTCTAGCCTCGAGTGTTAATTCCTTTTTAAAAAAAAACAATTTAAGACCATAAAGGTAAAAGTATACACCCACTTTTAGACCAGCATGGTATGTTTTGCTAAAATCTTATACAGAGGAACCATTCCCCTACCTCCCTGCACCCTGGATAAGAATCTATTTTTTGTCAGTTTCTCCCACATACTGGTCAAATGATTGCACTCAAACCTATCAAGTTCAGCATGTTAAAAGTAAGATTCACCTGTACTAAATTGTGAGCAACATCTTCAAAATGCTCAACCATTCCAACCAAGTTGCTGAAATGAAATGCTGGGGTGATCAATTTCCGTTGAAATGCATGATCCTTCCCATTGGAGGAAAATAAACCATTACCAATGCTGGGCAGAACTTGTCGAACAAACTCTGACCGCCTGTAGTTCTTTGCATTTGTCACGACAACATATTTGATCAGCTCAGGATCTGTCAAGAGGACTCTAGATTCCCCTAAAAGAAATTTAATGAAAAGGTGTATGTATGAAAACATAAAGAAATTTCACTGACAGTCAAGGATGTCTTAGTTCATGAATACTTTCAAATGGCCATTTCACACAACTGGTGAGAGGGATGTTTCTTAGCACAGTTTTCTTGGTCACTTATCATTTGCAGTTTGGTTGATGGTTCGGTTCAGTGTTAGACCTTCAGTTAAATGGGTTCATTGATTCTATGATCTCTTGAAAACACAGGGAGTGAGACAAAAAGGTACCAGGTGGGTCAGATTAGGTCAAGGGATTCGAAAGTAGGAGCTAGGGCAGATACAAATCTTTCAAGTTTGAAATCCCCAAAGGTCACTCGTTCATCCAATCCCAATTCAGTTATGCATGACATTGCCAAAAATACATGCTAGTGGCCCAACATGTCCCAGTAAAGGTGGAGAGGATGAAAACTTGTCAAAATTCGGTGATCTCATAACATCGAGCTAGTGAACCAATATCTGATAGTGCGAAAGAAAGAGGCTTTGTTGATCCTTTATAATAATTGTACTTGTATGCACTGGATCATCTTGAAAAAACTTTCAAACACCGTACTTACCAAAACCTCGATTATAACGGATAATTGGCCCGTATTTTTCACTCCAATCCTGCAGCAATTTCGCATGGTTTTCCTGTCGTAGAAATGTCAACACATGACCAAACACTGGAAGAGATCCACTGGGTTTGGGAATTTTTCTCAATGAAGTAAACTCGTCTTTAAACAGCTTGTACAAGAGCCACGTCAGAAAAAGAACGCCTATTACAGACCATATCATTTTAGAAGTCCAAACTGTAGACCGAAAAGCTGTAGCCTGAAGCAATACAACTGAAAGTTATTTAAAAATGCAGTGTAATGATGAGTCACGCAAGCGCCATAGTCGACGACCTCAAATATACTTCCCTCTAGGAGAGGGTGAGGTTATTTGTAACCAAAAGTCGTTCAAACCTTCTAATGAATATTTTAAGGCAACATTATCGAAGGAGCAACTACACAATACTGGGCCACTGAGGTTCAGCTTATCGGCATGCGTTGAGGAACGAGGCAGAACACAAATGAATGTATTGTGATTCAATAGGAAGTAAATAAGTGGCCCTATATTCTAGTAGTTTTACCCAAAATATTATTTTCCATGATGGTTGAAACAAGACAGCCTTAATTTTTTGTCTGGTTGTAGCACGTCAAACGGTGAAAATTCAAGAAACAATCATTTCAATCGCATTAGAAAAATACAAGTTACACTCAGCAGTGTGAATGAGTAAATTAAAGTGAACAAAAAAATTATATGATTCTTCGCACGGAATGCGCCCCAAGGCAGTGGGTACAAAGGGACTTTCAGAGTTAACAAGGGGCTACTGATACAGCACAATTTTTATAGCATTAAAACGTTATGTGATTACTCACTAAAGATATATGTGTAAAAAAAAGGAGAGAGACGTAGAGTCAAATCAAGTGAAATTATGACAGTGCGCTTTCATTTCACTGTCAGCTGCTACAGCAACCTAGTTTAAAGTATTACGTTGTATAATTTGCGCCCGCGTTACAAATTTGCACCTGTGTTACATGAGAACTGCACTCTGTACTAGCCAATCAGAACTGATTAATTTTTTATATATTTTATTGGCATTTAAGCCAAGTAAAATTAGTAAGATTTTGTTCAAGCCCTTTTCGTCGTGTAAGGTGCTATGGTCTGTTATGTTTGCTTCAGGCAATTCCTCTTCACGCACCCCAACGTAGTTCTCCCTTTACATTTTTTCTGTCCGAGCATATGTTAAACCTTTCACACATATTCTGTTTGGAATTCGTTCGTTTATCTGCTTTGTATAAAAACTCGCTGTCGTGGAGATGAAGGTGATATTGGCGACACGGCTTAAGACGGTTTCATTCAGAGAATCTTCCGGATAACAGTTAAACCCGAGCTCCTTACACCGCTTATGTTCACAATTGTTAGGTTCCTAACACCGCTTTCATGTTTACCAGGTACATTTGAACGCATCATGCTATGAGTTTATCATGCTAAAATATATAGAAGTTAGTTTTAACATTTTGAGAATGTCATTAATTATTAAGCAGCTTTTGTAGTTACCATGGTCGGTCTCCGTTCGAGCAAGGTCAACATGTGGTATATTTAACCTTATATTGAATTTATTTTTCATCTGGAAAATATTGTTTTTTTATTTCACGAGAGCAGTAATGTAAACCCTGAAGTACATGTAATTATACAGTCTGTTGAAGCCGGCACCAAGCTTATATAAGCACCTTTTTTTTTCTGGGCATTTCCAATCGCTTACTTGGACCACACCCACGGAATCGTCTTGAATCTTCTGTAGCGGAGACATCTTTTCTTCCACGAATTTATAAGCGAGCCATACTATCACAGCTGCGAATGGCAACAGCAAAACAGAGTTGGGAATAAGTGTAACTCCATATTTGAGAGATCGCTTGTATGGCTCCCATCCGAGTAAACGCATTACATCTACAAGGTAGCGATCGTGTTGGAAAGAAAAAAACTCGGAAATAATATTTGCAGCTTCCGATGAAAAATAAAACTACGGTGAGTAGCTCATGTTCCTCTCAAAATATATAACGATAATAAGAAATAAGCCCTAAGTTTATGTTGAGCCTGACTGACCCCACCCCTGATCAATATGGACAACCAAGCAAACTGCGCCAATATTTCGGTTTCCAACTGACGTAGGTGTGCGTTTACGATGTTATTTTACAATAATTGTATTGTCACTTAAGCAATATCGAAGAAAGGCGTAAGCGATCTCTCAAATATGGAGTTATCAGTTATTGCCAACTCTATTTTGCTGTTGCCATTCGCAGCTGTGATAGTATGGCTTGCTTATAAATTCGTGGAAGAAAAGATGTCTCCGCTACAGAAGATTCCAAGTCCTCCAGGCAGATGGCCGTTAATCGGCCATGTTTTCACTTTTCTCCGATCTAATCAACTGGAGGTGCTACGCTCTTGGAGTGAAAAGTATGGACCGATGTTCGTTTCTCATCAAGGTTATGCAGTAGGGAAAGGTAGGTAATTTAAAATATAAGAGACTGCTGAGTTATGTGATGCATCACCAAACTTCTGTGCGTGTATAAATAATTTAATCATGCATACCGGAATCACGCACACTGTTCGAGGTGATATTTGAGACTTAATTTCCCGACGTCGTGGTCGAAATGCATCCTAAATATGGTCTGTGATGTGTGGTCATCCCCTGGGTCACCCGGAGATTGCTGAGTGAGCGCGCTTATGCAGACTGCTAATTGCAGGTTCCACTTAAGAAGGTCAATATACTTTAATTGATCATTTACCTATAGGCAGTGCAGAGTATCGCTACATCACTATCAAGGGGGAGAACAATTCACGGGAAAAAGGCTTCATGAGAGATTGAAATAAGAGCAGAGATTCCAACCCTCCCGATTTGATCGGGAGTCTCCCGATTTGATGTCTTGCCTCCCGCTCTCCCGATTTTTACCAAATTCTCCCGATTTATCATAAAATTCTGAAAACTAGGGGAAAATTGCTAATCTTTAGAATTTTTGGCGATCTGTCACTGTGAAACACTCATATTATACTTACTTTCTTCGCGAAGAGCATTATGGTATGTTATAACTCAGGCCGGAATGATGTCAAAATTCAGGAAATGGCACTTGAGAGAACCTAAATTTGCAAAATTTCCCCGGGGCATGCCCCCTGACCCCCCTAGAAGCTCGCGCCTTTGGCACTAATAATTACTCCCTATTTTCCATCACATGGGGTTGGAATCTCTGTAAGAGGCTATTCACAGTTGGTGAAAACCAACCAATCCTTGCAGTTTGTGGTGGTGACATAGCCATCTGCATCAGGAGTAAGGCAGCATCATGAGAAAAATATTAAGAGTTAAGATTAAATTGACCTCTTGTTTTTTGACTACTGTAGGTGGCTGTTTACTGTACATAGCTGATCCTGAGCTCATCAAGTTTGTGGCAAGCAATAGCCATAAATTTTACAGACCTGACTTTGTGGCAAGAAATATTCCTAGTATAAGTGCTGGCTTGTTTGCATCTAATGGCAAGGCGCATGCTAGACAGAAAAGAATGATTGGGCCTGCATTCACTTCCAAATACTTGAAAGGATTTTTGGGAGTCTTCAAAGAAAATGTTGATAACCTTGTTAAGGTGAGTGGTTAAGCAAAAATATATTCTCAACAAGCTAATGGGCTTTTAATTTTAATCATTAATAGCCACTTTGTTTCTAGATTCTTTTGACAAATATGCCATCACAGCAGTTAGTCAGGGGCAACAATGACTGTTTCATTTAGGTGTGGTCAGATTCCTCCATGCAAGTTTTCTGATTGACCATTTTAAGAAACTGCTTGCAAAGTTTTAAGTACTGCCAGCTTTTGCTGGACTAGCAGCACATTCTTGGCAGATAGAGGTGTTAACAGTGGCAAGGACAGGCCTAGACAAACTGACTCCCATATCTGTTGCAGTGACTGACCAGATGATAGGTTTGCTTATCTCTGTTCTTTGTGTAGTGTATGTCACAATGCACTGACTAGCAAAAATTCATCATGGACCTTTTGACAGATGTGTTGATCGTTTACCAGGAAGTCCAGTCTCACCCTGTGTAACTGGGAAGGGTCCACCACAGACCTTAAGACAAATATTGTTTTTAGTTCTGTTAGGATGCCCAGTTTCACCCTCCATGCCCTCTAAGGAGCAGGGTTGCTGGTTGAGTAGCCAACTTCCCAATCCATGAGACAGGTAGTTCTGGTTTTCATGGTTGTCCAGTGGCAAATATGTACATGGTATATAAATGATTTATCAAGAGGACATTCTTGTTACACACAAATGAAATTGGCTCATAGCCATGAAGCCTTTCTTTCAATATAACCAAATTGTCCTGGAACTTACATGTGATTTTATTCTGCTTCCAGCTATGGTCCACCAAGCTGAAAGATCCTGTTGAAGTTCATGATGATTTGACACATTTAACCCTGGATGTGATTGGTCAATCTGCATTTGGTTATAACTTCAACACTGTGTTGGCAGGGGAGAGTAAGGTTTCTGAAGCAGTGGATTTGGTCATTAGTGGAATGAGTTTTAGACAACTCATGGGCAAGACATTTATTCCCTTTTTTGAGTACCTGCCAACAAGCGAAAACAGGAGAATCAAGACTGCGAAAGAGATAGCTGACAACACAGTGTTAGATGTAAGTATATAAAGATTCTAATGTTTAGAGTTGCTATCTACAGTTTTTTTTTTTAGGTGGAGGTGAATTTTATTAGGTAAACCTTAGCTTATCTATAGCCATTTGGGTTACATCAATCAGATTGAACCAATAAAATAATAAAATTGAAGTAACATATGACAGCAAACAGTTCTAATCAAAGTCTTGAATCCTATTTATGGAGCAAGGGAGAGGTCGTTTTTTATGGACTAACAAATGTAACAGATCATCTTCATAGTTGGATGCATGAATAAGTCCCACTAAAAAATGTGTGAAGGCATTTTTTCTTAGTGTGTACCATACATACATACACTTTATTACTTGAATTCATATTTACAGGTTTTCATACACCCACAGTTAGCTTGAATGGGTGGCATGTTAGAAGTAAAACAACACTATTACATAAGCATTCACAAATTACTTATAATCTAGTAATATTGTTAATAGGACAAGTTTACTGTTACAGAGGAAATAAAATAATTTACAATATCAGATAGGAACTCAAACTGAATAAGTATCGAGTAAAAAAATTAGGTATATCTGACACTATATAGCATATCATTGTAAAATAAGCACACTGGTGAATTTTTAGGAAAGAGTAATACCCGTGTGCATAGAGTAGATTCTTTTAAAAACTCTTGCATCACTTCCCAGTGGATATAAGTAGAACTCATAGAGACAATTATTCCTCAATTTGTCATTATGCAGCAAATGTTACAGCATTTTTCTTAATTTTACAGTACTTGTAAATTTTGCCTCTTACTTAAATTGTTTTTAATTATTTAATCTGTATTTCTTGAAAAACCCTAATCCCCCAGGCTCTGGCAAAGTTTTGCAACAAATCCCTTGCATGCCTGTGGGTTCTTTGTGGATTGCCTGCAGGTGGTAGGTACCTGCATAAGTGTGGTATTTCTAATTATCAATGAATGCATTCTGGGAATGGAACATTTGCAGGCAATGTGACCAAATTCAATTTGAAATGACTTGCCAACAGATTCTTTTCATCCAGGTATCATACTTCTTATGAAATTTCACATATGACTTAAAACCCCAAATTGAAAACATTTTTTAACAAGGTTGTCTTGGGAAGTCCCAAGAGGGCAGTAGAACCTTTTTGAGGAAAAGTTTTACAGGCATTATCTGTGTGGCCTAACCCAGACAGGCTACTTCTTTCATGACCATGGCCAAATGTGAAACCATAAGTTTGTTGCTCTTCTGCTGCCTGGATTCAAAAAGTAGTTTGATTAGTACCTCTGAATTAGCTAACTTAAGGTGCACTAGAAGCCCTAATTTTTAAATTATGTAATAAATATTTTTAAAAGTAGATAACATGTTTTTCTCTCATTGCTATGTTATTTTAATGGAAAATATTGCAAAATACTTGGTGTTGGTGTGTAGCTCCTTGCATTTGCAAACTGGTCTTTCAACGATGAAATTAACATTAAAATTCTTTGTTCAGGTATTAGATAATTGTTAGAAAATTGCATGACCCTGATCATGACTAAACCAGTCCTATTTTTTTCCTCAGTCAGACTAATTCTCTTGCTCAAGTCAAGCAAAGATTACTGTTTAAATTTCTTATTTATCAGGTTTTTTTTTTCTCTTCAAAAGATGATCAGAGAGCGCCGCAAAGAGAAAAAAGCTGGAATTGTGAGAGAGAAAAAAGATCTCCTTGATGTTCTGATGGACATGTATGATCAGGAAACAAATTCAGTCATGGATGATGAGGAGTTAAGGAGTCAGGTGCAGAAATTACATATCTTGAATTATCATTTCAACAACAACAAATTATAAATTAAGGCTATATCGCTGCAAAAAAAGTTTATTTTGTTTTGTTTTTTTCTTTGTTGTTATTTGGTTTGGTTGTGCAGCACTGTTTTTGTTAATTTAATGAATGGAATGAATACTAGTACGACTCTGCTTTAGAACTACCCAGTAACTTCATCTTGAAATGTCTTAGGTAAGATTTAGGAGGGCCAGGTAACACATTAGATTGTATAAATATAGTCACTCATCCCATTACAAAAGTGTCTGATGCATAAACTTACAACAAGGCATTCAAAGTAGCTCAAAGAATTGTTTCCAGCATAAGTACTTTTCTTAAGGGGTTGTTATTTGATAAAGTAATCAAAAATGTACTTGGCAGTAAAGCCTCTTACTGTCTCAATTGCCATTCTCTTCTTTTTTTTCTCACTTTCTGTACTCTGCAAGTACGTTGAAACAACATATATTGGAGTACCCGCTGTCTTGGGCCCCCTTCTTGAGATATGGATTCTCAAAATTTGAAAAAAAATAAACAAGAACGGGATCCTACTGAACACTCTTTGGCCTGAATTTCTAGCATAAACCCTGCAAGTTTTCTGCGGCTCAGAAGCATCTTCATTGTATTAGATTTGAGATTGAAATCGTCGTCGGGGACTCGGGTTTCTTCCTTACCCCACGTTTGTGCCAAATCGAAATATTTCTCAATGACCGACGAGGCATTAATTTCATTCTTTATACATCTCTTCCAATTTCTCCTTTAGGTGTTCACCTTTATGGTGGCTGGCCACGAGACTACCAGTGTCGCTCTTGCTTGGACCCTCTATGAGCTGGCAAAGAACCCTGAAATCCAAGCAAAACTGAGAGAAGAAATAAACTCTGTGTTGTGTGATGGTACTGAGCTGACATGGGATACTGTTGAAAATCTCACGTACCTTGAAAAAGTCATTAAAGAATCGCTGCGGTGCCACCCCCTGCTCACGTGACTGGCCGTTCTCCAATTGAAGATATAACTATCGGGGGATATCTAATTCCTAAGGATACAGTTATGATTTTGCCCATTGATTCATTACAGCGTACTTCCAAATATTGGCCAAATCCCGACGACTTTGATCCCGCAAGATTCGATGAGGAAGGTAAGAGTTAAGGAATTAATGACAGCTTAGTTAATGAGATTTTTAAACCGTTGCTATGTGGTGAGTGGTTTGTTAAGTCCTTAAGTTTTTTTTGTTAATTTTTCAGAGGGCCGAAAAGGCGTGAAACCTTACACACACATTCCATTTGGGGTGGGTTCGCGCATGTGCATTGGATACAAATTTGCTTTGATGGAGATGAAGGTGATATTGGCTACTTTGATGAAGAAATTTTGGGTCAGTGAGGCTCCCGAATGTAAGGTTGAAGCCGTGCCAATGCTGACAGTCCGTCCAAAGGGACTTAAATTGCTGATAGGGCTTGCAACCCAGCCCTGATTCCAGAGCAATTTTCGTGAAGAAGTAAACGTAGGACTGCGGTGTTATTCTTCATTACTTTCCATGATTGATCCAGATAGCTCGCGCCACTTTCTTTTCCAATCAGATGCGAAACGAAAACCAACTGCGATCTTATCACTTTTCTTGTGCTTGTTTACCTTAAGAATTTTTGCGTCGGTGTCCGGTCGTTTCGTACCCTTTCGTTTCGTCCTTTAATGCAGACGGTACTTAAGTTTGAGTCGATACGTACTCAAGTTTGAGTCGGTTCTTACCCAAGCTGCTGATCGCTTTGTGCATTTTTTTTCGTAAATACCTCACGCGCCAGCGCGTGAGCCGATATCAATCGTTGCGTAAGTCAAGTAGGGGCAAGCGAGTAAGACACATGCAAAAACATATTTTGTGTATACCAGTGACCCTCTCAACAAAAACAACTCAATTATTCTTAGCTCAAGGTTAGTGTGATGTTTTCATTAGAAAAATATATTGTTTAGATTTGTGACTTTTTTTAAACAATAACTGCTCGTGTATGTGTGATATTTTTTCTCTTATTGGTGACATGGAAAATATACTTTACTAGTTTGATAACCATATATTTAAAAGTCATGGTTACAGTATTTGTGTAGAGTACGCAACGTGTGCCAAATCTTGATCGAAAAAATGTCTGGAAAACAATCTAAAACGCTGTGCTATTACGTTTGAGATTGTGGGCACTTTTCCAGATGCATGTGTATGGGTGCTTACTTTTATTATGCGAGGCTACTCGCTTTGCTGGACACCATCAATCATAAGCTTCCACAAATGTAATAAAATTGTGTTGAACATTCAGAAATTCTCTTTTAGTGTTTGAGACTCATAGTCGAAAACATCTTATGGATTTCCGTTTCTAAGGAGCAGTTCGGCTTTATTTTACTCATGCACTCAATGAAATCTATCCCTCTACAAATACTTTCTTGGTGATTTATTTGCATGGTACTACAGTCAGTTTGATTAGAGATTGCGTTTCAGTTACATTTTTAAGACAAGCAGTTATCATCATTTAAGAATCTTGAATGCTGCCCTTGGGAGCAGAATACTTCCGTGTTTTTTGACGCACATCTTGGAGATTATGATATTTGGAGGACAGTCATAACTGTGTGCAATATTGCATGTCTAAAGAGTCTAATCTTGATAAAGTATTCGACTCTTTCCCAGTGATAAAATTCGCGAAAGAGTTTTAAGTGTTTTGTTATTTTTACTTAAATAAGAGTAAGTCTTCCATCATTTACCAGTCCATGTTTAGAGGGTGCAAAATGTAAACTATGATAATTAGCGCATTAACTTAAAAAAAAATCAATTTGGCGGTAAAAAATTAGCGAATCCAATCTTTCAAGGGTTCCAGACGATTTTCACTGTACAGTGATCAAGATCGAAAAATAAGAGAGACAAAATGACAAGGATCGCATTTAAAAGCAGTATATCGCACCATGCTCGTAAAATTTGTGGCGACAATTTTCTTTTTATCATTATTATGATCACACATCAGACACTTATATATACCTCACATTTAAATGAGTAGAAACATGAATATTTAAAGGAGCATTTCTTGAGTAATTTCTTAGACCGAATCAGAATAGATCTGTCCGCTCAAACTGGGGGTTCTCTGTATGACAAGCACGAAGCCGCTAAAACATTGATACTTGTCACGGACGAGATAACGTCAACGAAGAATAAGTAAAACAATATCAATAGTTAGCATTCTCAATTGAATTGTTTCTCCAATGGATCACACTTTTCCAGCAAACTTTTCTTTTCGTCTATGATGACAACTTTCTCAACCACAAGCACCGAAGAAACTGTTCATGATTTCTTCACGGTTAGTTAATAAAATCTCAAAGGTTGTTTTCCTCCTGTAATAGAGGCTTGTCCGATTTTTTGTCGTCTGTGCTTTGTACATCCACCGTAATGGTGTTCAATTTCTTGAGTTCGACGTTCTCGTTGTTTGAATCAGACGACGAATCTCCTTGTTCTTTATCTATCAGCGGATCCCTGACTTGACTATCCCTTGTTTTAGCGTTCGCCTTGTCCGCAGCCTGCATCTTCAAGACAGCTCCGAAGTCAAATGCAATCGGTGATCCACTTCCCTGTGAAATTGGTGTGGGAACCAATTGTATAGGCAACTTAACTTGGTGCTGTTGAGTTGGGGTTTTTGGTGTCTAAAGAAAAATTAATATAATTCGCTCATGTTAATACTAAAATCACTCTTAAGGCTGAGAATTTGAAAAAATTGTATATTCGTTTTCGACTGTACTCCATGGCGCAGAATGCCTGCACATCAAACTACAATGATAGTCAGTGTATTCTGATGCGGAATCAAACAAGTTAAAAACGTTTGAAAAATCCTGTATATATTTCTTTTTGCTTCCTCGTCAGCAATGTACTTATAACTTATCATAAGGCCCCTCAATGATTGAACGTGAAATGTGGAATTAAAATATTTGAAAAAATTAAATGGAAACCGCCCCCATTCACTACATGCTCTCCTACTCTTCCTTCTTAAAGTTTTTTCGTGTAGATTGATTGTTGAACGCGAAAGAACTAGGGCAAAAAATGAAAAAAACGCTCAGCCAACGTCACTATTTCCTATCAGTTGGTTTAAGGGATGCCTGTATGAAGGCTAATTAGTGAGAGAATAAGGAATTGTTGACTGATTCAAAAGGTATCAAGGCTGATGCAAGGTTATTCAACCCCTTGAGCCTTCCAGACAGATGTTTTTAGGTATTTTATATTTGTATGTCACGGAAAAAAGCAACAATCTACTGATTCCTGCAAATGATTCGTTGTATGTTTTGGCGAGAGTAACCAGCTATTGGATGTCCATATCTGTGACTACATTTTTCCTAAATCATACATTTTCGCCAGGTTGATGAAGCAAATTATTCTTGACTAAATACAAATTACCTTTCCGTCTCTTTCAGTGACTTTGCTTCCGGAACTCGAACCTTCCCTGCCCGCTAAATATCTAATTTACATCTTAATGATTTCTGAATACATGAAGCAAGTTTTAAGCGCGACGTTACGCTTATATTGCAATCGAAGCTGAAAAATGAGCCCCCGGCGCTGTCTATTTTCATGAAAGTTCAAAGCTCTTCTTGTCGTCGCTGAGACTTTTTAGAATTATTTGCATGCAAGGTTTTGATTTTATGTTGCTAGTTCATATGTAAAAGCGTTTTCTTTATCGACTTTTTCTCCGGAAAGAAATGACTATATGACATGCCGTGTTCAACACAAATTTGCATTCATCGTGTCTAAGAATATTGTCTATCATAACATCACGCTGAGAGAATAAGTTAAAATGTTATCAGATAAAATAAACAGCATGAATTGGCTTCTCGCGCTGGTCTCTGGAGTACGAACGCAAATGTCTTCTCGTTTCGAAAAAAAAAATATTTCTATGAAATGTTTTGAGAGAAATAAACACCGAGACAGTTAAAATGTTCCATGACTTACCATCAGATGATAATGATACGCTTCATACTTGTTTCGTAATGCGGTGTCTCTGGACGCAGGGTCCATATGCATTTCGAAAGGTGATTTCACTGGTTCGTTGAGTGACCGACAAGGGCCCTTGCAAACGCATAAAGCACAACACCACAGTAGTACGAGAAATCCAGCTAAGCCAGCGGCAATGTAAATGGCTAGTGTCCCATCCGCTAAAATCATTTTTCACGTTGAAATGTTCGCGTAATTTCTACGTCTTTCGTCCCTATTGATAATTTAAGAGCTCTGATCGCAAATTTCCATATCCATTAGTTCATCCAAAAGACGATTTGAATTTTCGCAGTTGACAGGAAATCATTGGTCAGATTCCATTGGCCTGGAAGATGGATCCAAGAGAATGATATCGTTTTTAAAAGACACAAATGTTCGTGGCGAGTCGAACGCGCCGGAGCATGGAAAATTCCTGTCTGGCGTCCTTGAAATTTGAAACCTATTTATATCATGTCGCGCTCGATCGGCGGGGAGAACAAGAATCCCGCGAGATCCGCGCACGGGCATTCGAGAGAACGTGCTTCTGTCTTACAAGATTCGTGCAATGGTGAGGAAATATCAATGAATCAATAGAAAATAAGCAAATGATTAAAAAAAGAAAAAACTTCAAATCAGGTATAGTAATTTTAATATCTTACAATATAAATCAACCACAAATATAAGTTTATTTCTTTGTTTTCGAGGTTTAATCGCAAAATTCCAATTTTTCTTTTGTGTGTGTGTGTACTTGTCCTTCAGAGCAACTGAACAAAAATTCGCCTCAAAAAAAATTTAACTTTCGCGACGAACATAGCTAATTCGTTAAAAAAAATTATTTTGCTAAAATATTTCCCCATGATCTGCCACTGCCTTTATGCCCCCGAAAAACGAGAACTCTTTTTCCACGGAGAAATAATCAACAAACAGCTTACGGCTAAAAACATTTACAGCTCAGAGAAGAAAATCGCATATTTGTCTCGCAAATAGGACAAAGCAAGTAACTGGAAATTCTGTAAGGATTCCAGTACAAGCCATTTATAATTTCGCGTTCGGATGCTCTACTTATGTTACGGAGATACACTGAGAACTCCCAATGCTTGATCTTAAAGGTCTAAACCAAAGTAAACAAGCTTGTGAGACATTTTTATAATATCCACATCGAAATGTATGCAAGCATGCATACATTAGTTAATAACCAATTGGATGGTTGACATCTGTTACGTTCCAAATTATGCAAGTGTGATTTTCGTCACGTTCTCTAACATCCACAACCGTTTTTATAAGTTTTCAACCGCAGTTTCTCTTTCCAAGAGATGCTCTGCATGTTCTTCTACCTGTTTGATTGTGGTTTGCTAATAATCCTTCCAAGTCGATGTGTCTTTGGCGCATTATTAAAGAACTTCTCATCGCTCTGATGTGCCACCAAAAAATTGTCATTATTGTCGAGCCAACTACAAAACAAATCGCGGCTAGAAGTCGAAATATCTTGGGAGTGTTTTTGTTGTTACAGTCGCTACAGTGTCCTGAGGTTATATGTTGGCGCTGCTGCGCGATTCCCAAGAAAACGAAACAGAGAACAATCAAAACAAATCCGACAAAAATGAATATGCTGTTGCGCATAATTCTTCGTCTTATAGACCTCGGTTCTTCTTGACGATCCATAGCCAAGTCCCATGTTAAAACGGCCAAGATGTAGCTTATAAACGGGGAATAGATGAGTTAGAAAGGTCGCTCAGTGCATTGGACCTGTCACACGATTCCCGTAGAGCGTTTGGCGTTGAAATGACGAGCGACGACCTATCTTGATAACAAATGAGACACTGGCATGTTACACTTGCGTTACAGTTTCCGTTGTTATGGTGATGCTAAATGGATCTCACAGAAAATTCTCTAAGATATCCATTTCGTTCTTCAAATTTGAGATCAGGATAATACTTTTAAATATCTCTTACAAGACGTTACCTAAAAAAATATATTTAGTCATTGTCGGTATTATGTTCACTTTGTTCACAAATCGTAAGGTCGTGTAAGCTTACTTTCAGTCACGCAAAGGTGAGAGCTTGGTAGCCGCTCCTACATATTAGGACGTTCTTCGTCTGTCAACATGGTCGCTCTTGAATTAGCGACGGCGATTGATATTTCTGCGCTTTTATTTTTCATGTTTGTGGCATTCTGGATCATAACTATCGTCTGCACAAGACAACCGCTCAAAGACATTAAAACAACACTGGAACGACAGCCAAACAGAGTGCTAAAGAACGATTACACCGGACATCATTTGCCGCAAGAGAAGAATCCTATTAAACTGTTATGATTTGGTCAGGATATTTAACAGTTATGACCCACCAAATGTTGACTGGATGGAATTTCTATGGTAAAGACGGGGTAGGAAATATGCTGGAAGCGGCTAAGTTTCTTTGGACAGTGGACTACAGCTTTGCATGGACTGTGCCCACTGCCCACTACCAGCCACTACGTAGTTTACAAAATTGAATAATAGATTCTTCACCGAACGGTTCAGATGCTTGAGTGGATACGGATAATTTCTCGAAGAGAATAGCGTATTTCTTTTCCGTCGTTTCCAGGTGGAATTTTAACTCATGGAAAGGCCAGTAGGAGAAGCTTCGAAATGCTTACAGGATAGGATTCACCAAACTTGCGTTAATAATTTCTCTCACGCTATCGTCTTTATAACGTGACCAGCGAGGGTGACCTCAGAAAATTCTCGAATAATGTTGCTATGGGTAGTTATGGGTATTCAGTTGCTAACCAACACAACTGCATTCAGCTACTCATATGATTTATTTGGCTGTTAATATGGTACAAACATAGAAAAACATAGTTACAGTGTGTTTTTCGTCACCTTATATATCACCTACAGTACTCACATGTATCTTTAGTTGATGTGGTTTACAAGATATTCAAATGTCAACAAATCTTAGACAATTCTCTTGCAGGAATGCGTATTGTAGAAAAATTAACAAGTGAGTAGAAAATACATTAACGCTAGAAAAAAAATACCTCTTGAGCTAGGATGTAATCAATATATTTAAACCTTGTAGTTGAGAGTTTTATTTCGATCAAACTAAAACAACAAGCGAGGGGGTTATAATTTTGCTTCATTTTAACTTTATGCCAACTTCTTTTTGTTAGTAGCCAAGACCTCCAACGACATTTGCCTGGCAGCTTTTGTCAGCAAGGAAAATGTTAAATTAGTTTTATCATCTTGATAAAAACACCCTTAGAAAAAAGTACACAGGACCAAAAGGCCTGCCTTTTAAATGTCGGACAGCAAAGGATTCTTTCTTCCTCCTATGAATAAAGTAAAAGAACGGGAATAATTAGGTTTTGTGTGTAGCCTTAGTGATGGACAATGCATTCAAATAAACAAAACAAATAGAGTGTAAGATAAAGGAAATTAAAGGAAATTATAAAATAATTTTTATGTCAGTTTTAAAACTGGATCCAAGCGAACTGGTTGCGTTGTCTATGGGATGACACCTGCATGGAAATGGCTTTACATCGACCAATTTCCTACGAGTTTTCATATTTTGGCCATCAACGCCTTTTTCGTAATAAGGGAAAAAACCGAAGAAACTTAACTATCGTTTTGCTCAGTTACCTTTTTTGCCACGGCGCGACTTCCCGCAGATCATTCTGTTAGTTTCTGGGTCGAAATATTTTCTTAAAGTTAATGGACATTTTCGGACGCAAATTGTGCGATCGCGTAGTTTTAAAAACTGAAATTCTTTAAAGCACTTCTCACAAACTCCTTCTTCTGTACATTGCTCGCAGTCTTTTCCACACTCTAAAAGATAAAAAAAGAGAACACGCTTTAAATGGATGTGCATATTTGAAGGAACTAACAGTCAGATGAGTTTACGCAGATGTTCTGGCATTCCTTCGCAGTGCTGTCGAATACCGGTAGTGCTGATAAGCTACATGAACTTACCCAGAAGATATTTGTATTGATTTACAAATCTGACAAGTACAGCAGAACCATCAAAAGTATATAATATTCTCTTGATCTCTTCACTCAAATCGACAATCTGAAACAATCACTTACTACCGTTCTGTCTGTTTGGTTTTCCTCCCTCTTGCTGGAATTCGCATGTTGGAGGTGACACGCCCTTCTCCAGCTTGTAAAATGGCGGACATCTGCGAACACATCTTGTGATGTTACTGCCTGGTGGTGTGAAAAGTTTCTGGTCTCCTTCACATTCGGTGCAAAGACCAGGGGTGGTACAGTTAGCGCATCCTCGTCCACAACCTACGGAGACGAAAGAAAGTACACCTCACTCGTCTGCCTGGGTTTGCCATTTGGAATCCATTCTGAACTAATCCATCTTTGTTTTGGCTCTTTATTGCATTTTTCCTTTAACTCAAAACCAATACTTTGAATTCAACAGGTAGATTAGCACGGCGCAAAAAAGTCATTTACCAAGCTAGGTGGCCAATATTTGCTATATTTCTCTAGTCGAGTACAAATAGCGATTCTTTATTTACATCGAAGACTTTGGCGTGAACGGTCAAAAATTTAGGTCCATAGGTAAAACCTACACCTTTTGTTTCTTGGCTTACGCCACAGAACATGCGTGAACCCTGTTCAGGTCATATAGGGTAATAAAAGCTTGCGAGGATCGCTCTAGACCATGAACTCATTTGAAACTGTATGACATACTTACCGGACTCTGTACATTCTATCACGAAAACGTCCGGCCAATTTCTTTTCATTCGAGGACCGCAAGGAACACAGACTGTTCTTTTTAAAAGTCTCGTTTGAACTTTGAAGAATCCAGGGTCGCACATTTGGCAGTTACCATTATCACAAACTGAACAGTTTCTGGAACAATCTGAGTAAATGAGAACATATAATGCAAAATATTAAATCAACGTATTCCCTGGATGTACATTAAAGTTATCAACATATCAAAGTGAATTATCGGCTCAGACAAGTGTAGAAAAGTGCAGATAAGTGTTTGGGACGTGCGCGTCTGCTCAAGGCGTTTTTTGAGGAAAGATATATTTAATCATATGGATGTATGTTGAGATAAAGTATATCGTTACAAGTATACTGTTACAGTAACGGGTCTTTCAAAAAAACTATGTGTCGAGTAATAAATGTAGAATGGTCAGATTTTGGCTATTAACGACCGATTTTTAAACATACCGTTGATGCATTGTTGGAGGAATGAAGCAGGATCCTTCATTTTAAGACGTCGGCCACACGGTATGCACCCTGTTCTGTTGTTGCGAAACGTTTTAAGAGCAAAACCGTCGTCGCACTCTAGACATATCCCCTCTTCACAGTCTGAACAGTTCCTGGGGCATGTTAATTCTACAAAATATAAATAAGAGTGAGGAAAATCAACCTCGGTTCGTCATTCGTTATCCATTCTGATCTAATCCATCTTTGTTTTGGCTCTTTATTGCATTTTTCCTTTGCTTCAAAACTATTACTTTGAATTCAACAGGAAGATTAGCACGGTGCAAAAAAATCATTTCAAAAAAGTAATCGTGTGCTTTTGTTTTCTTATTAGCTTCTCGTAGTTTCAACAGCTTACACCAAGCTAAGTGGCAAAGATTTGCTATATTTATCTAGTCAAGTAAAAATAGCGATCCTTCACTTACATCGAAGACTTTGGCACGAACGGTCAAAAATCTAGGCCCACAGGTAAAACCTTCACCTAATGTTTCAAGGAATACACCACAGAACATGCGTGAACCCTGCTCAGGTTATATGGGGTGAAAAAAAAGGGTTGCGAAGATCGCTCTAGACTATGACCTCATCTGAAACTAAGTGATCTACTTACCGGACTCTTTACATTCCCTCACGAAAACGTCCGGCCAATTTCTTTTCATTCGAGGACCGCAAGGAACACAAACCGTTCTTTTTAAAAGTCTCGTTTGAACTTTGAAGAATCCAGGGTCGCACATTTGGCAGTTACCATTATCACAAGCTGAACAGTTTCTGGAACAATCTGAGTAAATAAGAACATATAATGCAAAATATTAAAGCAACGTATTCCCGGGATGTACTATAAAGTGATCGATATATCAAGGTGAATTATCGGCACAGACAAGTGTAGAAAAGTGCAAATAAGTGTTTAGGGACTGCGCGTTTGCTCAAGGCGTTTTTTGAGGAAAGATATATGTAATCATATAGGATGTATGTTGAGGTAAAGTATATCGTTACAAGTATACCGTTACAGTAACGGATCTTTCAAAGAAACTACCTGTCGAGTAATAAATGTAGAATGGTCAGATTTGGCTATTAACGACCCATTTTTAAACCTACCGTTGACGCATTGTTGGAGGAATGAAGCAGGATCCTTCATTTTAAGACGACGGCCACACGGTATACACCCTGTTCTGTTGTTGCGAAACGTTTTAAGAGCAAAACCGTCGTCGCATTCTAGACATATCCCCTCTTCACAGTCTGAACAGTTCCTGGGGCATTTTAATTCTACAAAATATAAATAAGAGTGAGGAAAATCAACTTCGATTGAGGAAGGATTTCTGTGATTGAAATTACGTAACATGCAATAAAACAATACATTTTTAGTTCGATTTCAAACTAACCTTTCATACCCGGCTTTATCCCATTCTTCCGTCTTGATCCCTCTTTTCCACGCTTTTTGGCATCAGCTGTAACTAAAAGGAGCACAACCAACAGCAAGAAAGCCACCAAAACGCCCTTCATAATGATACGCTCGCTGAAGTTATATCCAAGAGTGCGAGGAGATCTAATATGCTTCAGCACGAAATAGAACCCCTTTTACTTCATGTTACTTGAGCTCGTTTATACGCGAATTATCCAGAAACAATAGAATTCGCACGTGTCAACTGGCTCTTCACGTCCGCAAAACAGCAGGTTATCTCCTTTTGTTACGTGCCTTTCGCGAAATTTTCTTTAGTGATGTCATAAAAGATTTGAACGCCCTCGTAAATGCTCACACGTTTTCACAACATTATTTCCGTCATAAAAAAAACCTCGCAGGATATAATTTAATTAATGAAGATATCTGATCTATTTTGTCACGTCTCCAATCATTTCCTAAATTTGTAGAAATGATTCTTCTGAGAATTTCATCAGACAGACGACTACAACCCCAAAAACGTGCACGAAATACAGCACCTAAATTGATTGAAACTTTGTAACTGGTCAAGCAGCGATTACAGGCCCATTCATTGATGGCGAGATTGTTGTATACTGTTAAAAATGATTCCACACTGTAGAAGGTTAATTTTAATAATCTTCGTTGAATTCGAGTTGACGATGCCCTTTTCACAGATATAGGAAAGGCACGTTGGCTGCTACCACAGTTGTTCACATCCGAGGAGATCCTAAACACGCGTACTGATTGTATCTTTCACGAAAAGATGAAAGTACATCGAAAGACAGGGAAAATGTCTCCTCGATACACCTTATTTCCCAGCTGGCCAACTTTGTCGTTGGATTCGTTAGAAAAATCAAAGGTAAATGTTGCGAGGGAGAACAATGTTATGGCAATTAATAGGTTTCTTTTTGGACGGACTGAAGGTGATTTTCAACGAGGTAGAACATAGTTAAGTAATTCCTGGAAGAAATAAATACGTCTTATTACTTTTTGCATCTTATTACCCTGGGCCTAGTTTTATAAAAAGGTCGGATAACGTTATCCAACGGATAAATCGCTATCCAGCGGATAAATGATAGTAAAACATACCACACTATCCACCGGGTAGAGATTTAACCAGCAGATAGCGTTATCCAACCTTCGAACAGCCGGGGCCTGATCTATACATTTTCTAAGGAGAATTAGCTTAACAATCAAGAGTTTCTTCAGTTGGTGATCACTTCCTTTTTTCTCGTGACCTTAGTATTTGACTCAGGGGTTGATATTGTAAGGAGAAATTAGAGGCCGATCGCTCTTGGGGTTCACTAAATGGGGGCCACAAGAATAAAAAGTGAAATAATAAAAAAAGGATTTGACGGTTGAGAGTAGAGTGTACCCCACAACTTCGATTCAGAAGTTTCCTCTGATTGACTATCACTGATCGTCATACAAATTCAGTAATTCTTACACCTTTTTTTTCCATTTTAGTGCTTGTTTGCTTTCAGCTAAAATGAGAGTGGACACAAATATGGAAGGTAAATTTTGTCCTGGTCCAAAACGCGTCCCTTTCCCTATTTAGTGTCTCTCAGTGAGTCCCTAAAGTAGATAAGGGTCTTCGCAGAAATGAATTATAATGGTAACTGTGTCCCACACCACATAAACTGCCCTTGAAGTAAAACATAAAATTGCCTCTTTGCTTCTTCTTATATCTCTACAAACACAAGTAAGTGAGTTCAACCGTTCAAAAGTGCGTTCTTGTAGACTCGTTTAAAGTGTTAGGATGTTATAGATTTCAACACGGGTGAATTTACGAGTCCTCCCAAAATTTGCGAAAGAGAAAACGAACAAACTATGGAAAATTTATAAAAAGCTTTATTAAAAAGAACATAATACTTGAGACAGCCCCGAACTATATTCATACTCTGTACTCTGTAAATAGACTCTGTATATCATCGTCAGTTCTATATTCATACTTAAACGAGATGCGTAAGGCACTCAAGCATAAAATTCTACAGAGTTTCAGAGAAAAAAAACTGTAAAAGGCTATATTGAACAAATTGTTCCAACTTTTGTTCTCAAAAGCCTGAATGCAACCCTCTACACAGTGTAAAATATAAATGTAAGGTTTGATCAATGATTTCATGTTTGAAAAGGTAATAGAAGGTAGCGTGTGGACAGGATGTCGTCAAGATGAAATGAGAAATAATAGTGTGGTAACTGAATAGCACACACACTTGGTGGGTTTTGATATTTGCGGATTTTTTTGGACTATCCTTGTGGAATATAAAAGATGCCCCACCACTATAGTCTAATTATACACTACAGAAGGAGTTGAATTAGAAGAGAAAGGGTTTTCAGTGATCGAGTGTTTGAAAATACGCGGTTTTCTTATCCTCAAATGATAGCCTGTCCACACTAGCAGTACTCGGTTACGCTGAGTTTACACTTGGTCAGTTGAGTAATTACAGTTATTTTTTGAAGTTAGCTTGTATATTAGTGCGGCTCAGCTGTGGGCTGTGTTGGGTTCGGTGGCGTCTTTCGGGTTGGTTTTCCTTTGCCTCCTGTTTAACAGACAAGAAAATACCACTCAGTGTTTGCTTTAAGCCCAGGACTCGTAGTGTTACATTTTGAGAACAAAGGACATGAAATTATAAACAGATGATCAATGATTGTTGTCATTTACAATTTCATTGTGTGTTATGTGTGAAAACAATAGAGACAAAATTGAGCTTAAAACCTGTTGAAAACTTCGAATTATAAGCAACTTTCTGATCGGTAAAGAATGCTGAAATTCCTCAGTTTCAAGAACTACCTCTTATTCTGAATATTTTAGTGTTCAACCGACCAAATAATTAAGCGTGCACTCGAACTCAACGAAATGTTCGCAATCGCTCAGAAAATATTTACGTCAAATCCAGGAGAAGTGGAATACAAAGAGTGATTTAATCTAAAAAAAAATTGATAAGGAGCGAAAAAGTTACCGATGAAAGAGCTAAAAAGGTTAAGAAATCCTGCCTTGAGCAGGTGTTCTATTCAACGTTCTTATAAGTTAGTGCAGTCAACTTGCCTTTCCCGTTCTTTTTTCGTTCCTTTCCTTTACGTTTTCCCTCACAGGCTTGCGCTTTATTGTTGGGGTCTGCTCGTGAACAAGCTTTCACGCAGCGTCTTGATTTGCGGCCGAAAACCAGGCCCTCGTTGCACTCGGAACATACTCCTGAAACGCAAGTCTTACAGCCATGTCCACAATCTGTAAATAAATAATAAAAGTAAAGATGGAAGAGATCGAACAAAATGTCATTCAATTATGCGTTACATTGCTACTTTTCGTGGAAAGGAAGAGTATGGCCAGTTTCTTAAATCCATGAATAACCACAGAAGAGTAGGCGCTAAAGGAAATTTCGAAACACTTAGGGTAAAAGGTCAGAATGTGACATGAATTGATGCTAAAAGACAGAGATAACTTACATCGTGAAGGACTACATTTCGTTGAGCACAAGTTTTCAATGAGAACAGCGATCTTAAACTTGCCTTTTATCTTTTTGCACATATTCTTGTCTCGATGCAGTTCAAACCCGTTTGCACATTCTGTACACGTTCCATTTGTGCATGTTTGACAGTTTTTCCCACAACTTCCTGAAAAGATTAAAAAATAGCGTATATCGAAGATTTCAGGAATTAGATAAATCTTTCTTTCATACCATATCAGAGCTATGCAGAGCTCAGGGCCCAAACAGAGTATAACCACAGGATCAAGCGCACAATTGTACAACGGGGAATTACCTGAGTCACACTGTGATTTGTCAATCCTTTTACTGTTTCTCCCAGTAGCACAGGGAATACAAGCTGTTTTATTCTTACGTCCAGTAACTAAAGCGAAATTCCTTTCGCAAACAAGGCACACTCCATTGTTGCAACTGGAGCACTTTTTCGGACAGCTCAGCGAAGGATCTGTCGTAGGTACTAAAATTTGGGAAATACTAATCAATATACACATCTCTGACTTTTTTCCATGAAAGTTAGAGGACGCTTGGGAGAGGTTGGAATGAGAGCAGCCTCTTTTTGTTGCTCTCTTAGTCCGCTAAAAAGGAAACAAAGGGCAGAGCGATAAATGGAGGCGCGAAAAACTGCGTGAAAACCGAGTTAGGGTCGTTAGAGTGGTCTCCTTTGCATTCGTTCTTTAGGGAGTTGCGCATAAGGCCACTGCAAAGGAGAATCTCTAGTTTATCCCTTAGTAAGACCACCGAAATCCTTCTATTGGTCAGCGGTGTAATGACACTAACTTCCAGTAAAAAAAAAAAAATGGGCCATCTCCACCCAGAAAAGATGATAGCCACAGGCGGCCCCAAGCTCGAGCTGTGAGATGATCATCTTGCGCAATAGCAGTCATGGCGGAATTATAAGAGTTTGAATGGGAATATTTACGATCGCTTTAAGGAATTAAAATAAATAAATCAGAGAAGAGTTGAGAAAAGCCCTTTTCTCATGTACGTGGAAAACCTCGAAATGGACAACTCGCTAAAATGGTTTTTTTTTAATCAAAGTAAGCGGTCAGATAATAGGTGATACGCTGTGCAAGTATACTTTTTAATTCCTTAAAGCGGTCGTAAACATTCTCATACAAACTATACAGAAATATAATTCTGCCATGACTGTTATTGCGCAAGATAATCATCTCACAGCTGGAGCTTCGGCTGCCTGTGATATAACAAGCTCTTGTGGCTGCATAAGCCAAAGCCTTTGCTTTACCTCGTTGGCATTCCGTACGAGTCCAAAAGGCGCCACTTGGTAGGGACGATTTTCTTTCGATTCTTCAATACCTCAAAATTATTACCATTATTAATATTATTGTCAACTTTGACAGCACAAAGCCGCTGACCAACTGAAACAACCTCGCTCACCTGGAGGGCATTTGGACATATCTGGATTCAAAGCAGTCTTTTTTCTTCGTTTGCTGCAAGGAACACAGACTGTTTTGGATCGTTTCGGGAAGGTGACTTTGGCGAATCCATCATCGCACTCGAGGCAGGTTCCTTCGCGGTTGCAACTGATGCAGTTTTTGACACATGCTAGTTGAGTATAAGATGTCACAAACAGACCACAAATTAGAAGACAAAACCAATAATTGAGGTGCAACTATGAAGAATCAACTAGTAAAAGATCTAATTTGAACAATGAAACCTATATATAACACGGACCACAACACCAAATGAATAGAAAAAAGCCCCATTGTCTGACTCTTTGCAGTGTCGCTGGTTAAGTTATGCAATACAGTCATAATGAAGAGTTTATCAGCGCATCATGTGATACATTTGTTGACCATCCGTAGTCCCTGCCTTTGAATGAAAGACTTAGAAAATTTGCGAGGTGGGCAAATGTAAATTGCTTAAGAAACTTCAAGCGCAACGCAACTTAAAGAAACGGAGAAATCCATAGAAGAACATCGGATTTCAAGGTTAACTAGACGTAAAAACACCAAGATTAAAGTTTACTAAGAGGGTCTCAACTGCGCATCGAGCTGAGTAGTTCGGTTCACAAGGTCAAAATGCTCATTTTATTCTGTAATCTAATTTTGCTTCTCTCTCTCCCCCTCACTCCCTCTCTCTCTCGTGCCATGGCTTAAGACAAGCGAATATGTACAATTATTTCAGCTCTTGTTCCATGAGGTTTCGCTTTGTTCAAGGGAGAAAATAATTTCCTATTCTTTTCGCTCTCTGCGTGGCTAAACGCCTGAGCTAACCGCAAATCCGAAACCCTTCATGTATCGGGTGTTATTTCTAATTTCAGTACAAGACTAGGAGGCTAGCCTTTGCAGCTTTGGTCGGGAAAATGATCAAGAAAGCATAGAAAGGTCAAAATCCAAAATCCGCGTGTATAATGTACATACGGTAAGATCTTTAGAACCCCACATCCGAAATTATTCCTTAAGCACCAACGCAATTGCTGCTGAATTTAGACAAAACACTCAGGATAAAATTTACCAAACGTTATATTGACAGAGGTTGAGCGTGTTTCTTCCTCTCAAATTGGTACAATAAGCTTTTATGCGTTGTTTAAATTTTTGATGAATTGCACTCACCTTTTTTGTCTGGCCGAGAAAAACTTCCTTTACCTTTTCCTCCCCGCTTACGACTTTTCCTACCCTCAGCTGAAGCAAGCAGGACGATGGCGATGCCTAATAGAACCAAAAACACCTTCCTCATGATGAAAGCCTCTAAACGCACCAAACTGGTAATGATTCTGGCGTGTCTACGGAATTTCACCGCCTCGACCTGCCAAACCTTAGACAAACCGGCTTTGTTCTAGAGAACAATACAAGAGGAAAGCTGGTGTCATATCCGTCATGGTTATTATCAGTCATAAATTAAGCTGAAGGTCAAAGTTTTCCATACCCATTAGTTCCTCAAAAGACACGATTTGACAGATTTTTCCTATTGAGTGAATAATGATTTTCAGATTTTAAAGCTTGTCGGACACTTTTCATGTTTTGGCATAAAATAAGTGCAAAGACACTTTCGTAACATCCCAGAAATCATCCCAAACTAGACTGATTAACTGTTTGATTTGTTGCGATTTCCGGACTCAACTAAAACTACCTTCGGAATTGTGAAATCTCACGGCAGCTCATTGAAATTGAAGCTGTGAGGACACAAGCGAAGGAAAACGAACAACCGTATTTATTCTTGTCCTTCATTTCTTTCCTAATCCATAAAATAAATCGAACGCATTTTATTGTTTGCGTGGGTGTTGTTCAGCTAACGACTCATCTGTCGGCTTTTTTTATCTTCGACGCAATCTCCAATAATTACTCATTATCCCTGATTTGGCGATCATCCCGAAGTGATCACATGCCCAGTACGTCATTATTGTGCGACGTTTTCAGTCTGTTCACAAATACCAAACGCCTGGCTGCCTATATTTCCATGGTGAATCGTTGATTACACATAACTGGAAAGAAGTTGTAAAACTCGCAAAGTCCGTCTCTTATGTATATGAAGTGTCGTATGAAAACGAGGGAAGAATATAAAGCAACAAGATGAAAACAAAACTGACAGTGTCAACAGGGGTTGACGTATTTGATGTGGAAAAGGACCGCATGAACCTCTCAAGCAGAGATTACAATCTCCGATCCTTTATATCAATTCAGTAATGAAAAGATTTTTTGAGCTATTTGAGAAGAGACATTCATTTTCCATCCACAAGGTGGCTCAGTACATTCTTGATGAAATGAAAATCGATTAGCAGTTGTTTTTAGAACAAACATGACGGTTTTAGACATAAGGTATTTCCTTTCCACATACTTCTCTAGTATCAAATTGCCAGACTATCAAATTGTCTGCTCCCACTCCTTTTATTTTTTTAGACAAACGAGAAAGATAAAAATAGTTTTAGACTTTGGTCGTATGATTTGGAGTGAGGACTCGCTTCAAGAAGGTTCTGTTTATGTCACTCTGGGAGGCTTATAGAATCAAGGTCACAACGTGTCGTGAAAACTTTGTTTGACAATTCACTTTGTAAATGTTAGTAAACACGCACCGCACAGTTATAGGGGCTCTGGTTTTTGCGGTTAACTGCACAGGCGGCCCACGCTCCAGCTGGGAGATGGTTATCTTGCGAAATAAGAGTCATGGCGTAATTATAGGAGTTTTGTAAGGGAATATTTACGATCGCTCTTAGGAATAAAAGAATACAGTCAAATATACTAACGTAACTATGTTGAAAAGAACCCATTTTTGCGAGTTATCCATTTGTAGGTTCCTCTTATTTGTTAAACCTAGAAATGGATAACTCGCTAAAGTTTTTTTCAACATAGTAATTTTAAATACTGTGTTTCTAAAATCTTCTCAATACAAACAAAACTAAGTACACAAATTGAAAATAGCTTACACGTTAGCAGTAGAGACCTTCACGGAGTAAATTATATGAGATAATCCCCATCGAATAAGAGCAAATTTAAGGTCAAGCGTTATTGGTTGGTTCGGGTGTAGTGGTCGGTTCAGGGGTAGAGCTCGGTGGCTGACACTTCTGCTGTACTCAGCTCGGAGGAGGTGGGTTCAGGGGTGCTGAATGTTTCGAAGGTAGTCGAGGAGTCAGAATTGGTGGTAGGAACTTCAGTTGTAAGGTACTCATAGAAAGGTAGTTCAGGCGTAATGGACGGTCCGGGATCAGTTAAACAGCTGAATTCGGTCGGGGGTATTATGGTTTCTGTCAGCTCAGGCTCGGAAGGCGGTGTTACGGGAAAATTTACTGATTTTCCCGTGTGTGTTATTCGGAGCATATTTATTCGTAAACTTTTACATTTAACCATTTCAAGTCCTTTCATTTCAATAAATCAAAAATATGCATAAAAACCACAGTAGCTTTTGAATAGATTTTTGTTGTTACTCGCTTTCATCATATACACCTGCTTGTCGGCACTTTTGTTTTCTAGTACATGTTTTTTTTTAGGTAAATATAAGTGTTAATGGTCTGTCTGGAAACATTGGTTTTCATGGTAGATAGCAGCTGAGTTTAAACGCGTAAATTTAATTTCTTTTCATGCGATGGTTTCCAAACCAATCTTGCGCAAATAAGCAGAAACTTTTAATTGCTTTTCCGTTTTTTATTTCCTGAGCTGCGCTGCTGCACTTAAGATAGGTATTGTTTTCTATACCAGAGCTGTAAATTCGCACCTAGGTTTCCTACTTTAATGGCCTAAAGTTTATTGCATCCGTCTTTTTAATTTTGAGATTCTTTCCGTCGTGGAAACAGATGGAATATTTAAGTAGTTTTTGTTTAGCTTCAAAGAGACTTTTTTCCGCTCCTTTGTGTCCTTATCCAAATATTGCGATTCGTGTAACAATAGCACTTCGCACCAGTTACTTCTTAAGCAAGTACCTTGTACAGCTTTGATGATTACAAACTAGAGTATGCTAGAGGTCATGTCGCTTGTTGGCCTGACCTAGAATAAAAGTACTGTGGAACCAAAGATTGTCTTATCCTTGACGTCCGTATAAGCTCGCTCGAAGCAGATCTCCGTGTACCAGGAAATCGTGACGAATTTCCGTTCTCGCTGCCAAGTCGTCTCTACAGAGTTAGTTCCCCCAGTTATTATTGCACCGTCCGCGAAGATTCAGTTTCCCAGTTTGGGGCGAAAACTTATCGTCACAGCGGCTCAGTGGTGGGCTCGGTTGTTACAGTCACAACTGATATGTATTAAACATGTTAAAAGTTAACCAAATAGTACCAGTACTGAGAGAGTTAAGGTCATTGTCAATAATTGGGTCTCCCCGACCAAATGAGACTTACCCAGATGGCTGAAAAGTTCTGACTAATATAATGAAATGGGTAAGTTCTGTAACAGGGTAAGAGTATAACAGGGTAATTTGGTAATTTCAACTGTGTTAATAATACGTAAATTGGCCAACGTAAAAAGAGCAATTGGTGAAGGGCTAACGCTTGAAACGCCAGCTTTGTAACTCTTTACAAGAGTTACAAAGCTGACGTTTACGTTATCAACTTGATTGATAATACCAAATTACCCTGATATAATAAAGCTCTATGAGAATGTGTATCATTTAGACGCCTTTAGCCCCTAATGATAGGGGCTTGATTTTACCTCTCGAATGTTTCGTTATTGGTCTCCTTGCGAAGTCACCAAATGACAGAACCGCTGTGATACCCAATAGAGGTAAGAGGCACTTTGGGGTGATTTGCATTTTGTACTCCCTTCAAGCAACCATAAGTTATTGGGTCCCTCCTCCTATCATTAATCCTATTTCGGTAATATTTCTAACTATACAGAGTCTGGCATATCGCTCAACTTAATAATGTTAGCCCCTTTTGATCCACACACCTTTCACTCATTCAGGAACACCATTCTCGTCACTTTTTCTATAACCGGAGGGACATGAGAAAAGTAAAAGTCATGCTGCTGCCACGTCTCACCACCAACTGTCAATTCGAGGTAGTTAGGCTTGCATCTCTCACATCTGTTGGGTCGTTGAAACACTCTCCATCGTTAGGGACAGGATCCACAGTTCGGAACTTGGCACTCTACACAGCCAAAAAGGTAAGAAGATAAAACATTGAAATGAGATAAAATTTGAAAATTGAAAAGAAGCGTTTTGAAATGTATGCTATTCTTCATGACTGGCAGTCAACCTTCTCCAAAAATCGCAATGACTTGTGATCAAAGCCAAAGACTAGGGACAGAGGACTGAGGTAAATACTTAGTAAAGGTGTAACTGATAACTTAAAATCTAGCGTCATGTTAGTCAACTAAGTTCCATCAAAGGCGACATTCTACCCTAAAATAACAATAATTATAAAAATAATGATAATAATACCGATGATGATAATGTTAATATATTAACAATAATATGCTTTAGTATATACCACACAGGTGAATAATACTTTTTACGCGCACGGATTGGCTAGTTCGGAAGCGATAAATCCATTTGGAAGGCTCCCCTCAGGTTTGTAACCCTTTGGACACTTCTTTACACAGCGATCAATCACCGTAAGCTAAAAAGCGAATATCCATTTTTACACACAGCGCAGGAAAAATCTGTTTCGGCATTTATTGCAATTTGATATGCACCCTGAAAATTGAACGCAATGATTCTATATAATTAATTCTTATTTCAACGCGGTGACCTTTTTCCGAAGATCAGAGGATCGTTAAGGATTCGGAATCTAACAGCACTTACTGATTGTTTCATCGAGTAATAAATAAGCTACTGGAAGTTATTTCTGAGGGCGACAAGATAAGGAACATTGAAAAACGTCCAGCCGAGGGACATTATTAAAAAAAAAATTTTTAAAAATCGGGTTCATGCAAAAAACTCAAAATGTGCATTTATCCAAAAAGGATAAAGGTAAAAAAGCTCCACTTCCAACATCAGTTTTTTGTATCCACCTGTGGGGTTCATCTCTTTTTTATACCCATTTGGGCAGTTTGAAAGACAGCGACCTTTCCCCAGACTAGCGAAGCCTCGGAACAGAGAATAACCATTTCGCATACGGAGCAAGATAATTTGTTTTGGCACGTCTTGCAATTTAGGGAGCACGCTTAAAAGAGGGAAAAGCGGTTATGAGGTGGATTATTTTGTGAATAAATACAAATTGGTACCTACATATACACTCGGGACGTTGAGTACGCCTTGTTTGACAAAGAAATAAATTTAATGCAAGTGTGAAAGTGAATAAAAATATCAATTGAGGGATTGTTAATTGATCCAATACCAAATTCCCCGAACTGACATCATAGGAATTGCAAAGCTTGCAGTAAGGAGAATTACTAATAAGACCCTGGGAGTCAAAGGGTTAAGAAAAGTAACAGCAAACCGAAACTTTCCGTAACTATCTGATTTCAGCTGGAATTGAAACACGCGTAGGTTTGAAAGCTTACTTTTCACGCACTGGCTCCCTTCTTCGCGTTATGCTATTTTTTTGCATCCTTTAGGGCGATTTTGGACGCAGCGCGACATGTTAAATCTTTGTAACGGTGCATATCCATTGTCACACGCACAACAAGAAAATCTGTTTGAGCATTTCTCGCAGTTTTGGGGGCAATCTGGAAAAAAAAATAAATCGAGGTCTATAGCCTTTCATAACTATGATATAACTATTTCTATAGAATGATGTACATTTATCGCTAGGACCTGGGACCACGAGATAGGACACTTGATGGAATGAATGAGCCACACAAAAAAATTAAGCGACTTCATGGCGAACAGTCAACGAAAATAATTGTGGGACGTTTTATGACGCAGTCATTAGGCTTATCGCTTAAAGGTGCATTTGAATAGATGTTCAATACTGCTTGTTTCCAGTTACATTATAGCTTGTGTTGATCATTTTCAGTGGTTATTTCAGGTTAATCTCGTTGTTCTACGCATGTTTCTTTGACGTTCCGAAGACCAGGGGGACATTGCCTTCAGCAGGCGTATGTACCCTGACAAGACCACGGTCACATGAAATCTGATTAGCACGACATTTCTTTCACTTCGTTGGGAAGCATGTTGAAGCTAAAATAAAGTTGATAAAAAGAAATTCATCAGTTATTTCCCGTAATCTATTGCAAATGACCTGCAGCGAGCTCAACCGCGATCTCTACTCCTGCTCAAATTGGTGGGAAGAGGAGAAGCCCCGGAAACGAGTTTTTAATGAGCTCTCGTCTCTTAAAAATTTATCCATATTTTTGCTTTCCTCGACAACCTTTTCTATTTCTCCATCTTCACATTTTTATTCCTTACTGGTTTACCCTGTATCTATAGAGCTGCAATAGGTAACGAGTGATATTACGTAGAGAACCAAGAGATTAAACTAACACAATACCTTGGACAGCTGTTTCTATTTAGATGCCCGCGTCTGGTGAATACAAATAGACCAAGGAGCTCGAATTCCAATTGTCTCGTAATTCTATAGGGAATGACCCTATTAAAACTAAAATTCATACGTTTGCAGATTGAGCAACATCACATGCCCAACGCGTGCTGATAGACACTGTGAAAATCCTGAATATCATGAAGATGTCGTGATAAATACTTGTTTAGGCCTGTTTTGACCCTGATGAAATGTCGAGACGGATTTCCGCTCATTTAGAGATGCGTCAGTGATTTGTAAGGTGACTACTCGCACTTTTTCACAATTCCTTCCCTAGTCTTATCATCGTCCTCTCCACCTACGGGATCGCAAGATTTCCAGAGCAATTTATTATATACACGCACTCTAGCCTTTTCTGTCTCTGTTTGAACTCAGAATCACCACACAAACTAGTAAAGTAAACATCTTCGCCATCCTCCCTCAAAGAGCAAAACACTCAAGTTTGGCATCACCTGAGAGAGGGGAGGGAGGGGGGACTAAGATTATTGTAGAGTTACTGTACTCCGTTCTTCAACATGGTCGCGCGTTATCTTATAGCCTACGTGTAGCCGTACCCTACCCCCCATGGTGAAACGGAAGCGAGGGAACGTAGACGTTACCTCGCCTCCGTTTTACCATGGGAAGTGGGGGGAGGGTACGGCTACACGAAGTCTAGTTATCTCAAAGAATGAAGGCTACTTCAAAGGCGAGCTTATATAGTGTTCTTTGTTTATCTGGTGTTATCTTGCCTATCTTTTTACTTATTCATTTGAAGTGTGGACTTTTGCCAACTAATTAACAGGAAGATGATTGACTGAAATTGTAAGTATTCGACCAACGTCATGGATCACAGAGTGATTCCGGCTTTTCTTCGAGTGCCCTTTTTTCGCTAGTGTATTTTGCTTTGAATCAATTTTTAGTCCAGAGAGGGGAAACGAATAGATAAAGTACTAGGTGCTTGTGTGAGTCTCAGCGACTGAACAAGTTACTTTCTAACTTGCGAGCAAACGCCCTTATTTTCTTTGTCCCACATGTATATTTCCTGTAGAACAAAGGTCAAATAGACGCTGGGTGCACGTAGAAGCCAGTTATTTTCCTTAAACCAAATCTTCTCCGTTGCGTTTCTCACCGATAAATTGTTTCCCCGTCGTGTTGGAGTACTAAGATCAGTTTTATCGTAACTGCTTAAAATAATTTAGTGGTTGAGAGCAGATAACGCTCTCGCCTGTCTTACCTCTTTGCTCATTACGTTTTTAAGAGTATTATTAATTTGTTTCAAGCAGCTGTTAAGGAAGTTAGAGTTATTGGTGTTTGTGTGTTTCAAGCACCTCTATTGTGCAAGCGAAGTGCAAGGAATCTGATCGATTGCTGATGTACTCGTGTCACGAAGCAAATAGACATTGAATCCAGTTCATTCCTTTTGAAGATTGTGTTGTTATAATAGTGCACAGAAAAGGAACGGGGGCTTGTAACTTGGCTTGTTACCTAATGGTTTTTCGTTCAATACAACCTTTGGCCTCTTCCGTGTTCTTTGGATCCTAAAAATGACTTCATCAACAACAACAATAGGTATCAAGAATGACAGGAAAATCTTCATGGTGCAATCTGTGATGAGTTCTCCTTGTTTCAGCCGGGTGCAGCACTATGAAAACCTGCGCGACAGTCCACCACGTATTTCATGTGAAGAGAATACAGTACTCGATACGTGAGTTCAAAATTCGATACTTTAGCTGAATATCCAGTTTAGCATTTTATCGCATGATCATACCCACTCTCACTTAATCCAAGTGCAGTTGATCTTGTAAACTTGCTTGCTTCGCTCCACGCCCCCTCTTACACACAAAAAGATTAACGGGCTATCCAAAACAACAGGAAAAACAGATTATTGCACAGAATATCATTTATTGAGCACACTGTATTAAATTTAAAACACGTATGTCATATGGCTTTTGGCTTACTGGCTTTTTTCTGAATAAGATCATTGCCATTCCATTTGTAATACATGTCGTGAAGCAGAAAGGAACGACGACAGCTGCTTACTTTTGCACTTAAATTTTCATAAATTTGTCCGCAGAAATGGATTTATTATCTTCCATGTTTGCAGCAGACGGTGGCTTCAAACCAAAGCCAACGCGTTTGTCGTTTCTCTTGCATTGGCGGATTTCTTTGTTGGGCTGAGTGTTGTTCCCTCGACATTCGTGTGAAAGACGGTAAATGACTTTCATCTGTTTGAACAAGGAACAATTTTTTAAGGCGTTCGTTTCTTTACTCTTCTTCTGTGAACTTGTGCAACGTAGTCCTGAATCGCTACATGGCTGTCGTGAAACCGTTTAGTACTTGACTGTGATGAAAAGATGCCGCGTCGTTCAAATGATTTGCCTCTCTCGTGTCTTACCCGTCGTTTTTGTTGTGGCAGTAACAACGGTATGGTTTATATATAATTTGTCACTTACCTGTGTCATTTTTTTTCCACAAACTGTTATTCTATTTAAGCTTTACCCATGTTTTCTCTTAACCTTCTGCTATATATCGATGTTAGGTGTTTTTTATAAACATAACCAAGCTGCCCGAAAATTAGCGAATCAATTACACTTTAACCATCGTTGTTCCGTTAAGATACCAGAAAAGTCTGCTTTAAACTTAATGGCAACTGTTATATAGGAGTGTTTCTCCCGTGTTTCGGATTTTCTTTACGATGTAACCATTGTTTGATTGTTGAAAATGAGGCACTTCTTTTTGTTCTTCCATATAAACTAAATGGTTTCGTCTTAAAGTCTACCATTAACCCCGTCGCTTACTCTTTCTTAAACCTTTTTAACTCCCATGAGTGACCAAGACAGAATTTCTCGTTAAACCAAATCAATACAATGTCAAACACACAGGTGATGAAAATAAAAGAAAAATATCAGCTAGGGGAGTATTAGTTGATTCAATACTAAATTCTCAGAACTAACATCATAAGAATTGTATGGCAAACAATAACGAGAATTACTAATGATATCTTGGGAATTAGGAGAGTTCTTAGATATAGAGAGAAACTCAGTTTTATAAGGGCCCCATCCACACTAGCGTGTTTACCTGACGTTCGATGACATATACTTTTTGCTTTGCATTTTGCCTATCATCCCCACTAATTCAAAAGTAAATTTTGAAAAAAAATTTTGAAAAAGGTTTCAGAGGTGGAGTGTTTTGAAAATGCACCACTTTTGAAACGTTCCGTTTCCTGTGTGGACAGTTGGAGAAGGAGGCTTTGATTGATTTTTAGGAGAAGATTTGTGAAAATGTATGAAAACGCCGGAGCTTTCAAAAGAAAATGCAGAATAGAAGGCAGGTGAGAACAAAGTTTGAAAGAGGCGGAAATACATGTTTTAACCATTTGCGACCGATGATAACTTGTGGCTATGTGCAAATAAAACAAAGTGAGCTGTCTTTAAAGGGAAAGGCTCTTGATTAAGTTAGCGTGTTGAAAGTAGTGAAACGATGCATGCAACGATTTCACTCCATATCGAAGAATGTAGCGGGTGATTTACTGGCTGTCAGATATTTTTGATTGTGGAAAGGCAAAAATAGAACTTTCGCTATCTATAAAATTAAAATAGGACAGTATGGCTCGCTAAAAATAGATGATGTGGTAGTTTTTGAAAGTTAAACGAGAATGAAGAATGGATGGGAAGCGGCTGAGTAAATTGATTTTTGAGACTTTTGAGCATTCAGCGAAAATACTATGAAATTACACTTATTCAGAGGAGAAGCAAGGTTATAGTACCAACTACAAAGATATAGAAACAACCGAAATCCGAAAATATCGGGCGCCTTTGTTCGCTAGGCATTGGCGTTTTGTTATGGAATTGACTTTTTTTTTAGCGATGTTTTCATTCAAATCGAGATCAGTTAATGTTAGCATCACTTCATCATTACTGCTTATAATAAAAAATTTTTTATTTCTGACGGCGTTTTTGCAAGATGTCTGCATATTATTACGTTTTATTATAAGACAACAAAAGGAGACCTGACAACGTGCTCAAGTTGTCAGATATTGGTTGTCAAAATCCTTATTTAGCTATCTTTAATAATTAGTTTCTTACTGCTTATGGAAAAGGTTCATATCACCACGGACATCGTGCGATTTTCATCAATTAGAATAGAAGGGTACTAGAATGAGTCTCCCGTGGGTGCCTCTCTTGTGATCAGTTACCTTCCTTTAATTCATTGACTTCATAGGAGGATAAGAGGCTGTTAACTTAACTGTAAGTGCGGCCGGATTTCAGGCTGATTTGTCAACTGCGATGTGTTTGAGGGAGACGACATCATAAAATCACCGAAGTGTTTTCAAATGTTTTGTGGTTGCATATAATTGTAGTCTTAGTTCCAAACCCAAACCGTTTTACTCTCAGCTTTCATTTGCATAGAGCTGGTCACCTGAAGACCACAAAATGGAAACGTGGTTTTGGATTCTTGGCTGGTCTCTTTCCATCCTGACCATGACTGGAAATGGCTCTATTATTTTCCTTATTTGCAGAAGACGGCGGCTTCGAAACAAAACCAATGCGTTTGTCGTTTCTCTCGCAGTGGCGGACTTCTGTGCCGGCTGAAGTGCTTTTCCGCCGCTTTTCGTCTGCGAGGAGGTAATTGGATGCGACCCTACGGCCTTCATAGCCAGCGGGGTGGATTATTTCAGGTGGCTGTTTATGTATGTGTCTGTGACAAACTTGTGCAGTTTAGTCCTGGATCGCTACATTGCTATTGTGAGGCCGTTAAGTTATTTGACTCTTATGACACGCAGAAGCGTTTTTCAGATGATTTTCATGTCTTGGACCATTCCAGTTGTCGTTCTCTTGGCGTTTTTATTAAACTGGCTTGTTTTTGAAGAGATTATGTTGTTTAAAGTGCTCATCTCAATTTTAATGGTATTTTTAGAAATCTTGCCGTCTTGTGTGTTAATTTTCTGCTTTGGATCAATGTATTATGTTGTTTATAAGCACGAAAGAGCCGCCCGCATCTTAGCAAACCAACTCCGCTTTAACCAAAGATTTTTGTTCAGAATCAAGGAAAAGGCTGCCGTGAAAATAATGGCAATTGTTATTGGTATATTCCTTCTCGCCTTCTCATTCGCTATACGATGTAGCTTCATACACATTTTGAAAGACGGAAAACCGTGTGATGATAAAGAATATAAAATTCCCCTTCTTGTATTAAACTCCGTTGTTAACCCCTTCGCTTATGCCGTCTTCAAGAGAGACATAAACATGGAGATAAAACGGTATATTTGCTGCGTCATTTGTAAAAAGAAACATCACAGTGATCCAATTTATGAAAACAATTTTTTTTATCTTGCGCAACTACAATGCCAGAGCAGCATAACTTGAATAAACTCTTACTCAACCAGAATTTGTCTTGAACTATTAACATTTGTTCCACGATCGAGTTAACAGCCTATAACCTAAATATGAAATTATAATTAATAATTTGCTTATGGTGTGTGCATGATGACACGAGTAGATCATAACAATAACAAAGGATCCTCTTAATCTCATCAATTTTTACTTATTCTCGTTCCTTTCGTTTTATTTTTAACTGTTAAGGTTACTTTTGTTTAATTTTGCTGGTTTATTTCATTTTATAGTTTTGCAAGTCAGTCTGTCAGTGAGTCATTGCGTCAGTTTTCAGTCATGTACCTGTCATGATGAATTGTAAATTAGGAGTTCTAATTAATTACGTTTACCCGCTTGGAGGTTGTTTATTAGTTTTAAGTAGATTAGGTTGTTTTGTCAAAATGTGTAATGCTTCTGTGGTGTTTTTAAAAGTGCAAGGACTTAGAGTAAATATTGAAAAAAATAGATTTTCAGAGATTCGCTCGGCAGAGTATGCATATGATACAAATCAAGAAAATGTATCCAGTACTTTTCTAGAATAAATTGGGAGTGAGTTCTAGTTTTGATGTCGGTCACTTGGTATACTGGAAGAAATAATTTTATCCTGCATGGCAAACAAACAAATTGTGAATTATTGTGTTGATCATAACCATTACAAGTTCCTTAAATGTGATTGGTGCATCAGCTGCTTCATTTTTCACTAATCATTCTGTACAGTTGTAATCGGTCAGTGAAATCGGACAGTTGGCTGTAATCGGACACCTATAATCGGATACTTGAAGCAGTCAATCATATTAGGTCCACTCAGCTAAATCTAAAAATCACATAATTGATCACAATAACCATAGCAACAACTACTTATCCAAAGAAAAACAAGACAATTTGCCATTCTGATGCTATTTACGTTCCGCCACGAAATCATAAGATTTGAGAAGTAGCCTAAGAATGGGTATCGTAAGTCTTAATTCTGTCCGTGAAGATAAGTTGCTTACAGGTAATGATTGAGTCTTTCTGAAATTACACCCTATCTTTGTCGATCCTTCAGTGTACTCCAGGGTCTGCACTTTCTCCTGCTCCTACTCCTTCTCCTGCTCCAGATCCTACTCTTACTCCTTCTCTTACTCCATCTCCTGCTGCAGCTTCTACTCCTGTTGATACTCTGCTATAGCTCCTGCTCTTCCTCCTGCTCAACTCCATCTTCAGTCCCCGCTACTAATCTTGCCCCTACATGTGCTCCTGATCCTGCTTCAGTTCGATCTTCAGCTTCTGCTCCTAATCTTGCCTTACCACGCCCCTGATCCTGCTTCAGCTCGAGCTCCTGCTATTTCTTCCGCTACAGCTCCATCTTCAGTCCCAGCTACTCCCTACCCATGCTCCTGATTCTGCTGTTCTGCTCCTGTCTCTGCCTTCTTTGCTAGTCCGTCAACTATGCTTTCGTTACATTTTTCCTTTTGGTATTTCTTCCCGACATTTTGATTTCTCATGCGACATGCACCTATAGCTTTGTTTCAAAGCTCATTTTCTAGTTTCCCGATCTTCAATGCATCATTGATTATTCCGCTGCTTCAGGTGAAAAATTGCTTACCTATTTCATTAGTACCATAATATACTGCAATTTTTCTCTCAACACTCCTAACTTGAATTACACTCATACGTATACGTCTTTAGGCTCGTCGAAATATTGCATGACAAACTAAATCATTTCGGCATAAATCCTGGAATGCATCTCATACGCAGGTTGAATATTCTGGTTTTTTGGCTGTATTTAGAGAGGTGAATACTATTCGTGTAAATCGTAAGTGAAAAAAGATTATTGGTAGAATTTCACGATCGCACTTGTTAATGTTGTGGTTTTTTTTAATGCTTTCCTGCTTTAAAATTCGTGGGGAGGGACCACGGAGATTTATAGTAAGTAAGACGGGTGAGCAAAAGTGAATTAAATATTGTAACAACAGTAAAATTGGTCCGCAGATACGTGCTTTAACGCACGAATTAAAATACATGGAGAAACCTTGAAATACATATTTAATAGTGTTTGTCACCATTTAAAACATGGTACTTCGACGAATGATACATACGTCTTGTTCATGAAAGGGAGCAGGAAAAACAAGCACAAGTACGATAGCAAGAATGACAACCTGGTTTTCGGATGCTTGGCTGATCTCTTTCTATCGTAACCATAACAAGAAATGGATTTATTATTATCCTTGTTTGCAGTAAACGGTGGCTTCGAATCGAAACCAACGCTTTTGTCGTTTCTCTTGCATTGGCGGATTTCTGTGTTGGGCTGAGTATTGTTCCCTCGACATTCGTGAGAGAGACGGTAAAAAAACTGTCATCTGCTTGAACACGAAAAACTTTTTTAAGGCGTCCGTTCCTTTACTCTTCTTCTGTGAACTTGTGCAACGTAGTCCTAGATCGCTACATGGCTGTCGTGAAACCGTTAAGTACTTGACTGTAATGAAAAGATGCCACGCCGTTCAAATAACTTGCCTCTAACGGGTGTTACTCATCGTTTTTGTTGTGGTAGTAACAATGGTATGGTTTAATTATAATTTTTCACTTACCTTTGTTATTTTCTTTTCACTGACTGTTATTTCATTTGAGCTTTACCCATGTTTTCTCGCAACCTTTTTAAGAAAAATATCAGCTAGGGGAGTATTAGTTGATTCAATACCAAATTCTCAGAACTAACATCATAAGAATTGTATAACAGACAATAACGAGAGTTAATAATGAGATCTTGGGAGTTTAAAATTTCTTAGATATAGAAAGAAACTCAGTTTTATAAGGGCCCCATCCACATGACCTTCGATAGCATAAACTTTTTTGCTTTGCATTTTGCTTATCATCCCCAATTAAACACCCAAAAACGCGGATTCAAAGGTAGATTTTTGAGAAAGTTTCAGTGAAGTGTTTTGAAAATGCATGCACCACTTTAGAAACGTTTCGTTTCTCGTGTGGACGGATGGAGAAGGAGGCTTTTAAAAACGATGTTGAAGAAATAGGTCAAGTATTGTCGCGTGACTGTAAGCGGAAGATTGGTGAAAATGCACCAAAACGTACGAGTTTTCCAAGGAAAATTCAGTATAGAAGGCAGAACATATCGACAAACACTTATGTAGGTGAAGATGTTTTGCCTCATTTTGGTAGAGACTAAAAACGTTGTGATTAATGTTGTCGCATCAAATTTTACGAAATATTTTATCACCAAGCTCATAACTAAAATTTTACGTGTAACTCACTACAATGTGACCGAACACTAAGTTTGAAAATGGTGGAAATACGTGTTTTAACCGAATGCGACTGATGATAACTTGTCGCTATATGCAAATAAAACAAAGTGAACTGTCTTCATAAGGAAAGTCTCATTTTTCAATTAGTTATAGCGTGTTGAAAGTTGTGAAACGATGTATGCAACGATTTCACTCCATACCGAAGAATGTAGCGGGTGATTTACTAACTGTTCGATATTTTTGACAGTGAAAAGGCAAAAATAGAACTTTTGCCCTCTTTTTTTTCGCCATCTATAAAATTAGAAGAGGATAATGTGACTCGCTAAAAATAGATGGCGTGGTAATTTTTGGCTGTTAAACCAGATTGAAGGATTGTTGGGAAGCGGCTGAGTAAAGTTGCACTTTTGAGACTTAGCAATCAACGAAAACAATTTAAAATTGCACGCATTTTGAGGAGAAGCAAGTTTATAGTAAAAATAAACTAAAAAGATATAGAAACAGCCGAAATACGGGTTTTGGTATATGATTGACTCTTTTTGGCGATGTTTTCAAACAAACCAAGAGCAGTTAATGGCTCTTGTCTATACCTGATACTGGTCGGAATTCTGAGTTTATTTTGTATGCAAAGCGGACCTTTTCTTAAAATTAGAGTCAGTTTTGAAATTGAAATCGTTTAAGCCAGCTGATCACTGAAAGCTAAATGTAAACCTCTCAATCAAGAATATCCTTGAATGTGTTGCGCCGTATAAACATCATGAACACGATCTTTTCATTTTTAAACATTTTACCTACCACAGCGCTCATTCACAAGAGAGAGTATACACTTCGTGGTGTATGACTCGATCGCAACCGGCAGAGACAGCACACATGCATACCTTTAGAGATTTTTTTGCCGGGGGCGAGGGCAAGGAAGAACGCCAAATTAAGTGCATTCAAAAGAAAGTAATGGGAACATTATAGAGTTCCTTTTTTACAGTAACGAGGAATATGTTGAACTACGACTGATAAACAAGCGCTAACATTCTTTAAGACGAATTTATAACAAAAATTACATTTGATTTTAATTGAAAGAAAGATGAAAGGGGAACGCTGCCCCTTATTTGTCTTTATTATTTCTTAACAATCGTTAGCAAGACTCAAGTATACTTTGGAATCCATACCTATTCACAGTGTTTTAGTATTTGCAAGGAGCGCCTAGGTCAATGTTTCGCCCAGTTAACGTATTCATCCTTCAAGGCGGAAATTTACTCTGGGGGAAAAGGATATGTCATTGTTCTTTGACAGTTACTTTATCTCTGGTGTAGGTGATAAATCCCCAAACAAAATTAAAGCATCAAAAACGTCAATGCTGTTAATTTTCTAAAGGCGGATTCAAGGATTGTGATCCTTCCTCAGATGGTTATCACTGGTATAAAACAATTTTTTGCGATAACAAAATGGAAACCTGGTTTTGGATTCTCGGTTGGTCTCTTTCCATCTTAACCATAGCTGGAAATGGATTTATCGTCTTCCTTGTTTGCAGAAGACGGCGGCTTCAAACCAAAACCAACGTATTTGTCGTTTCTCTTGCAGTGGCGGATTTCTGTGTTGGGCTGGTTGCTTTTCTCCCACTTTTCGTCTGCGAGAAGACAACTGGATGCAGCCCCGGCGCTTTTAAAGAAAACAGGGCCGTGGAATTGATAAGGTGGCTTTTTGCGTATGCGTCTGTAACAAACTTGTGCAGTTTAGTCCTGAATCGCTACATAGCTGTTGTGAAGCCTCTCAAGTACTTAACATTCATGACGCGCAAACGTGTTTCTCAGATGATTTTTCTCTCTTGGGCACTTTCAATTTTTGTTATTTTCCCCTTCGTTCTAACATGGCTAGCTTTTAACGACAACAGTTTTCTTTTCTTAATTAATTATTGGATAATGATGATTTTCTTCGAGTTCCTGCCGTGCTGTGGTGTTATCTTTTGGTTTGGTTCAATGTTACATGTGGTTTATAAACATGAACGAGCTGCCCGCATTCTAGCAAAAAAACTCCGCTTTAATCGTCAATTTTTGTTCAAAAGCGGGGAAGAGTCTGCTGTGAAATTGATGGCCATTCTTATTGGCCTATTTATTATAGTTGTCATAATTGCCTTGCAATGTTTTCTTGTTTCCATCCTGAAGGGCAAAAAATCGTGTAATGACGAAGAATTTAAAACACCTCTTCTCGTTTTAAACTCTGCCATCAACCCTGTTGCTTACGCTCTGTTCAAGAGGGACATAAAGGAGGAGGTAAAACGAAGCATTCGCTGTGTGATCTGAAAGAAGAGAAACAATATTGAATAACTTAATGACTCTAGATTTTTTCCCAATAGATAACTTTCTATTAGGATCGATCATAACGTAATGCAAGCATTCCCTATTATAGAAATTAACGTTTATAAGCAGGAAACAAGTTATATAGTTTTAGGATTCAAATTATTGAGTAAAGCTCAAAATGAAATGTTATACTCGTGTTTTATTGATATAAAGTTTCATCGCTGGGCATAAAATGCAAATGAATAAGGTCTAGAGATCTCAAACTAGATCTCAATGTCAATTGAGATCAGGTTGTTCGTTTGAAAAATGAGTAATTCTACTTTGTTGAAAAAGCTAACTTTAATGAGATGCGTTTAAATTTTCCTAAGGAATAAGACTGAGCAAGAACATGGAAGTTAGAGTTATGAGCTAGTTATCTCTCCATGCTAAGTTAAAATTCAACAGGTGCAAAAAGTTTGGCCTAAATTTGCGCATGTTTTTAAAAGTACAAGGAGGACTTAGAATAAAAAATGTAAAAAATTGACTTTCTGAGATGCGCTTGGCAGAGTATGTATATGCTGCGAATGAAGAAAATTAGTACTATTCCGGAATAAATTGCAAATGAGTTCTGATGTTGATGTCTGTTGAGATCAGCTGGTTTACTGGAAGAGATAATTCTATCCTGCATAACAAACAACCCGATTTTGAATTACTGAGTTAATCCTAAACCTTTAAGACTGGACTAGCGCCAAATTTATCTCTTCGGTATCATTGTTAAATCTTGAATCAAACATCAAGGTCTTACTTAAAATGAACATGGAGAGATACTGAGTCAAACAGATGATGATACGTGAACCGTTAATTTGGAGTATGCAGAACGTGTTTATTTTCAGACTTTATTAATGGTCAAGCGGTGGTGTATACAACGCAAAGCCGGGGAAACACCATTAACGCCGTATGGCTTTTGTCGTTCGCAAACGTGAGTACGATAATTGTAGTTACCTTACGATGATTTGTTTTTTTCTTGGACTCAAAGAAGGAAAAGCAATTGAACGAAATGGTTCGCTTAAAATTTTTTTGTGCTGTGAACTGCATTTCTGAGACTTTGAACTATCAAGTTGGACAACCGATATGCGGTTAAAAACACCTTCCGCAGTCGTTCCTTGGATGATTTGCCGCTTACTTGTCGTTTTGTCCTAGGAAGATTTTGTTAACAATACCCTACAACACAAATTCAGTAAGGTCTCACGAAGCCAGATGCTCACTGATAACCAAAAAATTGCCTTGGAAAGCCGCCGGTGGGCTTTTGAGAGAGTTATAAATTTAGTTTTTTTAATCAGTTAAGCTTTTACATTCGAATCAAGTTCGGATTATAAGTAAATCGTTTTTACGTTATTGAACCGTTTTAACTTGTCAAAGGAAGAACTTATCCAGCAAGATTTTCCGTGTATGAATCATGCGTATTTAAGAAATTTTTTCCGAACGTTTTCATCTCATTGTGATTGATTATGTTGTTAGACATGCACTCATTGTTGTTCAAATTAATTACGTCTGCCAAACTTCAGTAGAAGTACTTTTAGAAGTAGAGTTTTTCGGGTGACAAGAGAAATAACATGCTTCTGGTTATACTAAAATTATATCTGTCATCATTGACTTGGAAATTAAGATAGTCCAATCGATTGTTTTGTCAGTTTATAGCTCAGGTGACTTGTTATAAAAATAAATAATTTCTCCCTACGAAAAGAGACATCCCATTTGCTGTGTTTAGTAGTTGGTCGTAAAGTGTGCAAACTCAACTGAGAAATATGGAATTACAGGAAGTTGGATTACTGTGTTTTCTTAGCAGCAAGGTAGATGGAGTTTAACAGGACGAAAAACGTTCGGTTTCGAACATGTTATGTACAGAAGGCAAGTCAGAGGCTCGATTAAACACAACTAAGAATATAATCGATTGCCTCGCAAAAACCGCGAGTCGAGAGTACTTTTGATGCAATTT